CACTACAACCCAGAATAGCCCACAAGTTTAGGGTTTAGGGTTCAGGGTTTAGGGCGCCCAAAACTCTAAAGCCCTGAGCCAAAGCCTAAAGTCTAAGCCCGCGACCCTAACCCCTAAACCCTAAACCTAATGACCCTAAACCCTAAACTCTAAACCCTAATGACCCTAAACCCTACTGACCCGAAACCCTAAACCCTGAACCCTAGCGACCCCCTAGCGACCATAACGACCCTAGCGACCCTCAACTCTAAACCCTAAACCCGAAACCCTAAACCCTAAACCCCAGACCCTAAACCCTAAACCCTAAACCTTGAAGGTGAAACCCAACCTCGAGATCGACAGCTTCGTGGTTGACTTTGCCTTCATGAGAGGAGCTTAAGCTGCTTTTGTCAGTGTTTATGGTTTAGGGTTTAGGGTTTAGGGTTTAGGATTTAGGGTCCCAAAGATTTCGAGGCCCGTTGTTGAATCTAGAACCTTTCGAAACTCATGCTGCATGCTAGGATCGTTAAATTCCAACTAACGGGATTTCATAAAGGAGCTCTTCTTGGTTAAGTGGTATCAGAGTTTCCGGACGCAGTTCAGGGCTTCAGCGTTTGGGGGGTTTAGGGTTTAGGGTTTGGGGGTTGAGGGTTTAGGGTTTCGGGGACTTCTGGCAGGAGGCGGGCTCTGCGTCATTGAGCTGAACCCCTTTGGCCCGCAAACAGGACGGCGCGGCCAAGTAGCAGGGTTTAGGGGTTAGCATGTAGGGGTTTTGGGGATTCGTGGATGCGGTGTTTAGGGGTTTCGGGGTGTAGGGAGTAGGGGTTTAGCAGGGCTTTTGAAGGTTTTTAGGCGGTTCAGGGCTCTACCCCCCAAGCCCTATAAGCCTTGTCGCACCTTCAACCCCAACCCCCCCCCCCCCCTCAAAGCGTACAACCTAAACCCTAATCCCTAAACCCCTAAACCCCTAAACTCTAATCTCCTGATAATTAGAATCCAAACCCCTTCACCCCGAAACCCTAGTCCCTGGACACTAAACCCGACACCCTAACAACCTTGAAACCGTAATACACCTAATCCCCCTAAACAGAAAACCATCCAACACCCCATAATACCCCTAAACCCTAAGCCCTATATACATCCTAAACCCCCCCAACCACGAAACCCCAGAACCCTAAACCTAAACTCTAACCCCTAAATCCTAAACCCTACCCTATACTACCCCTACATCCTAAACCCGAACACCCTAACACCCCAAACCCCACGCCCCACCCCCCACCCCCCACCCTAAACCCTAAACCCTAAACCCTAAACCCTAAACCCTAAACCCTAAACCCTAAACCCTAAACCAGGAGCACTCCTCTTCGACTGGCAGCGGGATGCCGGCATCCTGGCCGCCAGCACCGGCCCCCCGGCGTTCCGAGCCTTGGCTTTGGGGTTTTAGGGGGTTTGGGGGTTTAGGGGTTTAGGGTTTGGGGTTTAGGGTTTAGGATTTCGGGTTTTGGGGCTACGGGACTTTGGCCAGCAGGTTTTGGGGTTTTGGGATTTTGGAGGTTTGGGGTTTTGGGGTTTAGCGGTTCAGGGTTTTGGGTTTTTGGTTTTTTGGGGAGTTTTCGGGGGTTTTGGGCGGTTGTGGGGGGGGGGGGGGTGTAATCTCCTGGTCAAGAGGAATGACGAGATCTCCCTCAAGGACCTCTGTGATGCATCAGATGCTCCGGAATGGGATGCCATTCCCAAGACCAAGGCGGCGAAAGTGCTCCAGGGAAGGCCCCCGAGGAGGTGAGACGGCAGTGTCCGGACAGGATCTTGTCTTCACGCTTGGTCTAAAGCCTAAACCCTAAACCCTAAACCCTAAACCCTAAACCGCAAGAAGCCCACGCAGGGCCTGAACGCATGGATCGCAAAAGGTCGCTGGTGCGTCCATGGGCGCAGCGACCCCGACACTTCGGAGTTGGTGACCCTAAACCCTAAACCCTAAACCCTAAACCCTGAACCCTAAACCCTAAACCCCCCCACACCACAGTCAGAGAGCCTGATGATGTTCCGCCAGACGGCTCTGAAACCTGGGGCATGACTTTGGCGGGAGTGAAGGGGCTTTGGGGGTGTTGGGTTAGGATTTAGGGTAAGGGTTTAGGGTTTAGGGTTTAGGGTTTTGAGGTTTTGGGGTTTTGGGGTTTTGGAGGTTTGGGGTTTTGGGGTTTTGGGGGTTTTGGGGTTTAGGTGTTTTGGGGTTTCGGGGTTTTGTTGGTTTGGGGTTTTGGGGGTTCTGGGGGTTTGGGGGGTTAGGAGTTTAGGGGTTAAAGGGTTTAGGGATTTTTGTTGGTTTAGGGTTTTTGGGTGTAAGGGTTTAGGGGTTTCAGAGGTTTAGGGTTTAGCGCTTCAAGGCTTTAGGGCGTAAATTCTTAGTGGTTTCGGGCGTGGCAGGGTTTAGGGCTTTAGGGCTTTAGGGGTTTTGGGGGTTTTGGGTTTAGGGCTTTACGGCTGTAGGCGGTGCGTAAGTGGTTTAGGGGTGTCAGGGTTTAGGATTTAGGCGTTTGCCGGGTTAGGAGTTTAATGGTTTAGTGGTTAGGTGTTTAGGTTTTAGGGATTCGGATTTAGGGGTTCGCATGTATATGTAGGGCCTAGGTGGTTGAAAGGGGTTCGTAGGGTATCAAGGGGGTCGTTGCGTGCTCTGTAGGATTGACATGATGGTTAATACCCCCTGCAGGGTTTAGGGTTAGGGATCTCGGCTCCCCCCCCTCCCCACCCCCGAGGATACGTGCGCCGCATGCGAGACGCTTGGATTTGAATGGGCTTGCTGTGGCCTCGGGTTCTGTATTCAGCCGTTCATTCGCGATTTGGGTTTTGCCCTCAACCCTAAACCCTGAACCAACCTAAACTCCAAACTCTGATTTCAAGTTCAAATAAGTACCGTTTTAAGAATGCTAATGTTAGGGTTTGGGGTTTAGGGTTTAGGGTTTCGGTTTCGGGTTTAGGGTTTAGGGCTGTGGGTCTTTCTAGGGTCCACAACCCATGAACCCCCCTCCCTAAGGACACTCTACTGCTTTATATCAAGGGATTCAGACTCGTACCCCTAAGGTTGTACCCCAGGTTCCCCTTAATGTATTCCTAATATGGCCCTTAGATTCCCTTAGGGATCCTTCAAAAGGACCCCAAAACCCAAGGGTACAACCCTTAAGGGTCCAAGGTTGCTTTTAACCCTACTTATAAGTGGGATAACCCCTATAAGGCCCTCTAGGGGTGTTATAAGTAGGGTTATAAGTACAGTTATAATTGGTTAGTAAGTACCATGAACCTCCAAGTACTGTCTTATATGGAGTCACTTTGTTGGGCCACCCCAGTGCAAGGCTCCGAGTCGAGCCGCTTACGGTTGGCCCAGTCCCTGAAAGTTTAGGGTTTAGGGTTTAGGGTTTAGGGTTTAGGGTTTAGGGATGTAGCCCTACACCCTAAACCCAAAACCCTCTACCCTAAACCCTAAAAAACCCTAAAAAACCCTAAAGTCTGGGGTAGCTGAGGACTGCGGTGGCACGGGGCAGATGCCCATGGATCAAGTGCTTTCGGCGCTGGACGCACTTGAAAAAAGAGAGCAGCAGTCAGGGTGCTACAGACCCGAATCCGGTTTAATGTTGGACTCGCTTTAGTGCGTAGGGCCCCCCCCCCCCAAACAATTTTGGGGTTTTCGGGGAGCCTTAATAATCTGGGACGGGGCTGGGACGGGGGCTGGGGGTAGGGCGGCTAGGGGTCGAGGGTTGAGGGGAAGCCTTGAAGCTTGAGGGTCTAAGCTTTCCAGGCTTTGTAGCTCCACGGTCGCCGGGGCTCCGCATTAATGCGGACCACCGAAACAACTTGCTAAAGCGAATCAGGGCAGCTCGTGGGCTACTCCCTTGGAAAACTGTTTGGGGGCCTGTTTCGTAATGAAATTTTACAAGGAATTTAAATAAGGCTGGACACCAAAAAAATCCGGAGTTTCTTATTCAAAACTGTTTTTTAGTTTTTGGCTCCCCGGCCCCCCGCCCTTCAACCCCAGCCGGGACAACATCGCATAATTGTGAACCCCCCCTAAACAATGGGGGGTCCTGTATAGGCCGAGCGGAAAAAATTGCAGAATAGTGGTCCCATCTACTAAAGCCAGTCCAAGATTAGGGTTTAGGGTTTAGGGTTTAGGGTTATAATCGGATTCAGGGCTCTTTTCTTGCTTGTTGGGGTGGGGGGGGGGGGCCTAGTCCGCAGAGTGGAGGGCTGAGGTTTGAGAATCGGAGGGTTTAGGGTTTAGGGTTTAGGGTTTAGGGTTTAGGGTTTAGGGTTTAGGGTCTAGGCTTAGGATCCCTAAGTCCTAGACCCCAGAAGAAAGCTCCAGGCCCATGAGCACCGCCCCAAGGGGCTCCCTTGTTCAGGCCGCAAAAGCATCAGGAGTATCATGTACTGCGAATCAGAATCCTTCTACATCGGTTTCAGCCTCACCGATAGCAAAAACGGCCGTTCGGGTGCTTGATTTCTGCATGAAAGGGCTCATACAGGGTGGGGCCCCCTTACTATACTAACTGTAGTTAAGGGACTTATAACCTAACTTAGGGTCCTTATAGCCCAATTTAGGGCCCTTATAACTCTACTTATAACTAGGGGGCCCCACCCTGTATGCCATGCAACTCTAACCCTAAAACCTAAACCCCAAAAACACGATCATTCATTGAGCGTACAAAGCCCTCTCGTTTCGCCGTCATCGGGACCTCGGGCCGCTTTGCCACAACTTCCCACTCTCATCAAGCCCGTTAAATTGGGATGTTCCCCCTGATACTAAATAAAGGGTTTTAGGGTTTAGGGTTTAGGGTTTAGGGTTAAGGTCCTTCATAGGGATTATCGTACCCCCGATGATATTCCCTGTTAAGATCCCTGTTAAGGACTGTCAGTATAAGGGGGAACCCTAAACCCTAAACCCTAAACCCTAAACCCTAAACCCTAAACCCTAAACCCTAAACCCTAAACCCTAAACCCTAAACCTCCTCGCCCTGTTTCTTTGGGAGGCATTTCCAGCGCAGCCTGCTGCGAACCAGCGGTCTCGTACTGCTGGAGCCTCCAGCACCAAACATGGCTCGTCACAGTCTCGAGGTTTTCTTGTACAGTGAAGGGAGCTCCGTTCTGCGATGTTCGGGGATTCGGGCTTAAGATTTTTTTTTGTGTGCCCTTTATCCCTTTGTCTCTACTTAGCTGCCTTTGAAGCCTATCGGCTGCCGCTGAAGCGCAGCCGTCATGAGTCTCCCCCAAGACGACTGCAGGAGCACCTTGCTGCCGCTCACCCTCTGCATGCCTCTGCAGCAGCGTCTGCGATTTTCCGGGGCCGCTTGGCGAACGGGCTTCGGGGGCTGTAGTGGCCCAATGGAGAAGCATGAGACCCTTCAAGCATATACCTAGGACCCAGAGTAGGCCCTCTTTTCTGATTATTATTATGTTATTATTAGTGTTTTTTTTTTTTTTTTTTTGGGGGGGGGGGGGTGGTTTAGGTTCCCGTACAAGCCCCTTTAAGCCAAACTGGGCAGCCGTTCATTCCTAGGTTACTCTTGGGTCTAGTAGAGTCTAGAGTCCTCCATGTTTCGGTTGGGATCTTCTACTAGCAGTACTAGCAGTCCTCAATAGGGATTAGAGCACCCCGTATATATTATATATGTAAATATAATATAAATAAATATATATATATATATGAAGGGGCTGTAATAGTAGGGGGGGAACATGCCGATCGAGGGACTTACAAAGACCAAAGGTGCGCAGGTCCGTAGAGCTTGGAGATGTCGAAGCTCTAAACTCGACCCCACCAGAGGTTCAGGGTTTAGGGTTTCGGGACCCGAAGCTCTTAACCCTAAACCTTCAGTTTAGGTTTAGGGTTGAGGGTTGAGGGTTGAGGGTTGAGGGTTGAGGGTTGAGGGTTGAGGGCTCAACCCTCAGACCTCGGGCTTAGGTTTGGGGTTGAAGGGTGCTTGGGCGAAGAACCCTGTGCCCGTGGGGATTTAGGGTTGAGGGGGCTACAAACCCCTACACCCCAAACCCTAGACCCTAGCCCTAAACCCTAAACCCTAGCCCTCAACCCTAAACCTGCACACGACTGGGTCTGCGACATTGGGGTAGCCAGTCCTCCCCCCCAACCTGAAAGGGATTATGTAGTAGTTATAACTACCCCAAACCCAAGACCCTAAACCCTAAACCCCAAACCCTAGCCCTAAACCCTAAACCCCCTAAGACTCTTGAACCACGACGACGAAAGAAAGATTTCGCCGAGGTGAGATTCGAAGGAGCCCGTGTCAGCCTCAGCGGTGCGACAGCCTTCGTATTCCGCTTTAGGGTTTAGGGATTAGAGTTTAGGGTTTAGGGTTTGGAGTTTAGGGTTTAGGATTTAGGGTTTAGGGTAGGTGCCCTTTTCCCTTCCCTTGGGTTCTGGGTTCTCTTATACAGAAACTGACTCCAAAAAGGGTACCCTGATAATACGCGTAAACCTTTAAGGGCTTAGGATAAACCCTAATCCATAAACTCTACGACCCGAGACCTCCTGAAGGCACAAAGCTGGAATGCACTTTAGATTGATTTCAGAGCCACAGAAGCCCCCGGCCCAAGACTCACCATGCTTTAGGCTATTGCTTGAACACCCCGATGATTCAAGCCCTTAACCCCCCAACCACCTAACCCCAAAACCCCTAAACCCTAAAAACCGAAAACCCTAAAAACCTAAAACCCTAAACAATACAAGTCTAAAACCCTCAACAATACAACCCTAAACTCTTAAACAGCACAACCCTAAACCCTCAAAACCCTAAAACCCTCAGTCCTAAAGCCCTAAACCCTAAACTCCTAGAACCCAAAGGCACTAAGCGCCCTAAAATCCTAAACCGAACAACCCTAAAACCCTAAACCTTAAAACCCTCAGCCTAAACCCTAAACCCTAAACCCCAAACCCCAAAACCTAAACCCTAAACCCTAAACCCATCTCAGCCCCCACCCGTGGAGTCGAGGACCGACCAGCGACAGTACTGCGCGGCCGCGCCGGCCAAGAGTTCCGGTTTCGGGCTTCAACTTTTGAGGGGCTTAGCACGGTTCAGGGGTTTTGGGCTTGGGGTTCAGGGTTTAGGGTTTGTAGGGTTTAGGGTTTAGGATTTAAAGTTCGGGGACTTGTGAGGGTTGAGGGGTTATTTGGGCGCTGTGGAGGGTTTAGGAGGGTTTGGGGCCGGTTTGGGGGGGCTAGGAGGGTTTGCAGGACTTCGGAGGGCTTCGGAGGGTTTAGGAGGGCTTAGGAGGGTTTAGGAGGGTTGGGGGTTTTGGGGGCTTAGGAACTTAGTCCTAAGGGGCCGTGGTCCCGTAAAATGGTCCCTTGCCTTCTTTTAAAGTGCTCTGAAGTATGGGCCCTTGGAATTTAAAAGATATCCAAGGGGCGTATAAGGGCTCCCCCTTATTAAGGATTGGGAGGATTGAGGGGGGGCTTAGCAGGGGGCTTTAGGGGCTTAGGGGGTTGGGCTTGTCGGGCTTCAGGCTTGGGGCAAGAAGGGGGGAGGGTTATGTCAGGGTTCAGGGCGTACACTTCGGCATACACTTCAACATCCTTGTGAGGTTGTTGCGATCTCAAAAATCCCACAAACCCTAAACCCAACCCTAAACCCTATGCCTTATGTCCTAAACTTTGGGATATTCCCCCTTACACTAGCAGTGCTTAATGGGGAGTCGAATAGGGGGTACTAGAATCCCTATTAAGGACTGCTAGTACAAGGGGGAGCATCCCGACCTATGCCTTATGCCTTTTGCCTTTTATGGGTTGGTGGTCTCTTTAAGCAGCGCTTCTGTTTAAATACATTCGGGGTTCTTCCTAGGGTATCTAACCCTAAACCCTAAACCCTAAACCCTAAACCCTAAACCCTACACCCTAAACCCCAAACCCTAAACCCTAAACCCTAGGGGCTGTATTGAGGTATAAGGGCAACAGATACAGAGGCCACCGGCGCTTTTAACTTATGCCCACCCTAACCCATAAACCTTAAACCCTAAACCTAAACCCTAAACCCTACACTGGCACGTGCCAGCTCTCCCTGGCCAATGGCCTTCGCGTGCTGCTCGTCAGTGATGCGACAGCCCGCCAACTCAGTCTGCGAGTTGTGTACTGCTGGTCACTCCCAGGCCTTCTCACACCTTCTCACACTTCCCCAATTCCTAGGTTACTCTTGGGTTTGTGCAAACACAGCAGACTGGTGACTTCCCAATCTTATCATCACCTTTTGGCGCCTGTAAAAAACCAAAGTACAGACTACCCTAGACCCTGAACCCTTACCCAAACGAAGTGTTCGCAAAGGCCATGCGCCAGCACAGAGGACCAAGATTTCCATCCATGTCCTGGGGACCCTCCAGCCTTCACCCTAAACATGACGAACCCCCCCCCCCCCTAAATCCTAAACCCTAGCCCCTAGAACCGAAACCTTAAACCCTAAACCCTAAACCCTAAACCCTAAACCCTAAACCCTACGAAGCGTTCCACATATCTACCCCAAAACTCTTCAGCCCTAAGTCCTGGGGCAGAGACACGCTAAGCAACCCGGAATAGCCCAAGCCTTCTCTGAAAGCTTGGTTAGGGTTTAGGGTTTAGGGTTTAGGGTTTAGGGTTTAGGGTTTAGGGTTTAGGGTTTAGGGTTTAGGGTTTAGGGTTTAGGGTTTCAGGGTTTCAGGGTTCAGGGTTTAGGTTTGGGGTTTATATAGGGTTCAGGGTTTCGGTTTATGGGTTTAGGGTTTAGGGTATGGGGTTGAGAGTGTCGGGTCCGGTCTTTTGAAGTCAGGGCGGCTTCAGGTTTCATGCGGGCTACAGCAAACTCCAGGAAGTTGGAAGTTTAAGGATGAGTTGGGATTCCCTTTAGTGTCCTTTTGGGGGAGGATGTTCCAACTTCTTGGAGTTTACTGTAGGGGTTAGGCGGTTTCGGGTTCAAGGCTCCCGGAAGAGAATCGAGCCCACCGGCGAAGTCCAAAACTGATGTAGGGTTTAGGGTTTAGGGTTTAGGGGACAGGGTTTAGGGTTTAGGGATGGAACCACCCAACCTGGGGCCGAACGCAATACTTCTGCACGCCTGGTCCCCCCAGAACCTTCCCTAAACCGCTAACCCCTCAACCCTAAAACCTAAACTGCTTAGGGTTCAGGGTACCTCACAACACCTCTCAACCCTTCTGCTCGAGCCAAAGTCCTCCACCTATTGGGTTTGGGATTTAGGGATGGCGGGCTTTGGTTACATTTATGAGCATTAGGTTCGTCCCCCACGCGCCCTTGGGCCCCCAAACCCTACACTCGAAATTGCTCCTAAACCCTAAACCCTAAACCCTAAACTGCTCCTATACCCTAAACCCTAAACTGCTCCTAAACCTGAATAAGCCCTAAACCCTAAACTGCTCCTAAACCCTAAACCCTAAACTGCCTCTAAACCCTAAACCCTAAAACCTAAACCCTAAACCCTAAACCCTAAACTGCTTACCTAGGCCACGGCCTCGGCAGCAGCGCTCTCTGTGCACGCCCACCCTGCCTGTGATTGAGGGATTTCAGGGTTATGATTTTCGGGTTCAGGGTTTAGGGTTTGGGGTTTAGGGTTTAGGGTTTGGAGTTTGGGGTTTAGGGTTTGGGGTTTAGGGTTTGGGGTTTAGGGTTTAGGGTTTGGGGTTTAGGATTTGGGGTTTAGGGTTTAGGGTTGGGATGTTCCCCCTATACTAACAGTCCTGAATAGGGATTCGAACAGGGGGGGGGGGGGGTACTATAATCCCTATTAAGGACTGTTAGTATATTTAAGGGGGAACATCCCAAGATTTAAGAGTTTTGTTGCTCTAGGCCCGTGGGGTCAGTGTAGAAGACTGTGATGTCAGAAGTGTAGGGTTTAGGGTTTAGGGGGGGCTATGATTCGAGCAGGGTTTACGCGTGTTCGGATTCAGGGTTTAGGCTTAGGGTGCAAGATGCCAGGTTTCCCTCAAGACATTATCCTGGGAACAGTTCTTGGCCTGAAACATTCGGTCCCTCCACCCCACCCGAACAAGGCATTTGGAACCCAAAAGGCTTCAGTGTAGCGCAGCTTTCGATTCAGGTTGTCGGGTCAGTCAGGCGATTGGGGTTTAGGGTTTCCCCTGATCCCTCAACCCGAAATCGGGCAGAAAAGGCCACTGCACTTGAGAAAAAAATGGGGCAGAACAACTAAACCCTAAACCCTAAGCCCTAAAGCCCTAAGCCCTAAGCCCTAAGCCCTAAGCCCTAAACCCTAAACCCTAAACCCTAAACCCTAAACCCTAAACCCTAAACCCTAAACCCTAAACCCTAAACCCTAAACCCTAAACCCTAAACCCTAAACCGAAGCCGAAGCTCGCCGACACTCAGCTGGCGCCCACCAGCTTGATGGCGATGTTGTTCGCTGAGCCCGGTTGAGGGATTAGGGTTTAGGGTTTAGGGTTTAGGGTTTAGGGCTTAGGGCTTAGGGCTCTCCATGCTGCCACTGCTTCTTTGAGGACCAAGTGAGCCCTAAAAGTTGGGGTCCTATACCCTAGACTACGATCCTGTCCCATCACCCTAAAAGTTGGGGTCATGTACCCTAGAAGAACCCTAAACCCTAAACCCTAAACCCTAAACCCTAAACCCTTATTTCCTCGTTTTCGGGTTGGTGTTTCCCTTACAATCCCCTTAAAGCCAAAAAGGGCAACCTTCGTATTCCTAGGCTACTTCTGGGTTCAGGGTTTAGGGTTTAGGGTTTAGGACGGTTTTGTGATATTAAGGGTACATGAGCCCTAAGCGTTCCCCTAAAAGTTGGGGGGTCGTCATACCCTGTACTACTATTTTCCGATAAGGGGTATATGAAGCAGAGTTTAGATTACTGTTCTTGGTGAGTGTATATAAGGTCCCTAAGCCCTAGACCCTAAACCCTAAACCCTAACCCTAAACCCTAAACCCTTTTTAACGTTGGTGAGGGTATATGTTGGGTGTCCCTTTGGGGGTACCAGGAAATACAACCCTATGTCATATGAACCCTGAGCCCTCTCAGGGTTCACGTGGTCACCCAGGTTGTCGCTGGTGGTCCAGGTTTAGGGTTTAGGGTTTAGGGTTTAGGGTTTAGGGTTTAGGGTTTAGGGTTTAGGGTTTGGGGTTTGGGGTTTAGGGTTTAGGGTTTGGGGTTTAGGGCTACTAGGATTCAGGGTGGGCCCTTATTCCCGTTTCTTAGGGTTTGGGTTCCCTTCACATGCCCTGTAAAACCCAAAAGGGCACCCTTCTTATTCCTTTGGTCTAGCCCTGTCATGCCCATGCAACCTGGATATTGCAATCCTACGCCCCCAGCCGAAGAGATTCCTGCGCAGTGATGCCCCCGGCCAGGCAGGCTTTTACTTAGACCCGCCCGATTTGCCGGGCCTGGCACATCTCTGCCCATGCCTCGTTGGGGGTTAAAGGGGTTTAGGGTTTAGGGCTTAGGGTTTAGGGTTGGGCACATATAGTTTAGAGCTTTAGCAAGTGAAGATTGTCAACTCTGCACCCAAGTCACAGCCCCCTTAGAGTGCGGCATGTACGTATCGATTGTACGCAGCAGGCAGCTACCCTAAACCCCAAACCCCAAACCCTGAACCCGAAACCCTAAATACCCAAAAGCCTAGCACGTGCCCTTCGTTCCTTGTCTTTGTTAGTCCAGTTGGGGCTTTCGTTCGCGCCTTTCATCCCCCAAGAACCTTAACAAAAGGCCACCGAATTAGGGTTTAATGTTGGACTCGGTTTAGTGCGTTAGGGGTCCCCCCCCCCCCAAACAATTTTGGGGTTTTCGGGGATCCTGAATAGTGTCGGCTGGGGTTGTCGTCGTCGTAGTAGTACCAGTAGAACTAGTAGTACTAGTAGTACTAGCAATACTCACCAGCTCGGATACCCAGATACGCATTTTTCCCCCTAACCGGCAACCCCGGCCGGGCAAACGAGGGCTCAAAGTCATAAACCCGAGGCGAGCACATGCTTTTCTTGGGGACGGAGGACTACCCGGAGGAGCCGCCTGGCCGCTTCATTGTCCCAAGATTTAGGTTTAATAAGGGGTTGCCTATGGTAAGGGTTCAGGGTTCAGGGTTTAGGGTGTAGTGTTTAGGGTTTAGGGTTTGGGGGTTTACTCCGGGCTCTAGCCGAGGAACTCGTTTCGCCTCTTCCTGTCGGACAAAGGTGGCAGCCCGCGCCCCAGTAGGGTTTACAGGGTTATAGGGTCGAAGGTTTAGGGTTCTTAGGGTTCTTAGGGTTCTTAGGGTTCTTAGGGTTCTTAGGGTTCTTAGGGTTCTTAGGGTTTTGGGGCTTTCACATCTCCCCAGGTCTCAATGCGTTCACAAGGGAGCAGGAGACGACGCAGCTTGGAAGCCGATGGAATCTACAAGCCCTTAATCCAAGATTTTGGATTTAGGGCTTAGGGCGCTAGCGCCCTGATACTAGCCTAAACCCCAAACCCCAAACCCCAAACCCTAAACCCCAAACCCTCAGGGCTTTATGGGTCCTGGGTCTCTGGATTCCTTGGTGTTGTCAGGACCCAAACCCTAAACCCCAAACCCCAAACCCCAAACCCCAAACCCCAAACCCTAAACCCTAAACCCTAAATTAAAAACTAAGCCCGAACCCTAACCCTAAACCCTAAATCCCAAGTCCCAAAAAGAGACAGAGAGAGAGAGAGAGAGAGAAGGTACTACTTCGACGTTTCGCCGGCATCACTGGTCGAGTCCCTGAGACGTCCGTGCACCCAGCCGCGCGCTGACCCTAAACCCTAAACCCTAAACCCTAAACCCTAAACCCTAAACCCTAAACCCTAAACCCTAAACGTCCAGGAGTTTTTTTGTTTTTTTTTTTTTTTTTTTTTTTTTTTTTTTGGGGGGGGGGGGGGGTGTTTAAGGGGGGTTTAGGGGCGAATAGTGGATGTCCCAGAGTCCTCGCATCATCCGATTCGCATCCCTAGAGTGTACCGAGACCCCTCAAGAACCCCAAAAAAAGCTTTTACACCCTAAACCCTAAACCCTAGACCCCGAAACCAGAAAAGCAAAGTGGAGCCCCCTAAGCCCTGAACCCCGAAGCCCCCCTAAATCCCCTAATCTTAAGCCCCACAGGCCTGGAACCCTGACCTCTATACCCCAAACCTTAGACCTCGCCCTAAACCCTAAACCCCGAGACCCTACATCCTAAAACCCTAAGCTTTAACCCTAAACCCTAAACCCTAAACCCTAAACCCTAAACCCTAAACCCTAAACCCTAAACCCTAAACCCTAAACCCTAAACCCTAAAACCCTAAAACCCTAAAACCCTAAACCCTAAACCCTAAACCCTTAAACCCTAAACCCTAAACCCTAAACCCTAAAACCCTGAACCCTAAACCCTAAACCCTAAAAACTCTTGGACTTGAGGTTCATGGCTTGTGGGGTTTCGGGTTTAGGGAGACCCCTATACACGGCACCCTAAAACCCTGCAAGCCTAAAGCCCTCCACGCTCACTTCGACCCTGTCACCCTTGGTGAATTGCCAAAGCCTCGTAGTGCCTCGACCCAACCCTAAAGGAACCTCTTAGTGGTGTAGGGTTCGGGCTAGAACGAATCGCCTAAAAGATGATAAGGCCTTTGTTCGGAGGCCTAAATGAGGCTTTCTGCGTTGAGGGTTTACAGTCCCGATTCCTGCCCTCGTAATCCTGTGTTACGCCGGCATGAATTCCCCCAACCCTAAACCACTCAGAGCCCCAAAAAGCCCTCAACCCCTAAACCCGACACCCCTCATCCTCAAAAAAAACGAACGCCAAACCCTAAACCCCTTAAGACCCCAGGAACTTCCCCAACAACTCATCAGGACCCAGAGTAGGCCCTTATTCTCTTTTTGTTGGTTTAGGTTCCCCTATAAGCCCGTTTCGAAACAAATAGGGCACCTTAATTGTTCCTAGGCTACTCCTCTGTCTAGCCCTAAACCCTCAACCCTCAACCCTAAACCCTAAACCCTAAACCCTAAACCCTAAACCCTAAACCCTAAACCCTAAACCCTAAACCCTAAACCCTACCTAGGTTACTCTTGGGTCTAGCATCAGAGCTCCGAGGCTTCGGCTCCTTCTTCACTTCCCCGCTCTTCGCCGAGTCCTCCCTAGACCGCGCCATGGCTTAGGGTTTAGGGTTTAGGGTTTAGGGTTTAGGGTTTAGGGTTTAGGGTTTAGGGTTTAGGGTTTAGGGTTTAGGGTTTAAATTAGGGTTCAAGGGTTCAAGGGTTCAAGGGTTCAAGGGTTCAAGGGTTCAAGGGTTCAAGGGTTCAAGGGTTCAAGGGTTCAAGGGTTCAAGGGTTCAAGGGTTTAGGGTTTCGGGTTTCGGGTTTAGGGTTCAGGGTTCAGGGTTTAGGGGCGTTTAGGGTTTATTGGGTTTGGGGGGGGTTTACGGTGTTTAGGGCAGTTTAGGGCGTTTAGGGTGCGTAGGGGTTAGGGGTTGGGGGCTGTACTCTTGGGCTGGCTGTTTTGACCTCGCTTTCTAAGCTGCACGAATTTCCTAGCTACTGGCACCTTGCATGCTGGCACACCGCCCGAACCTCTTCCTTGGTGTCGATGTGCATCGGTGTTGCTCTGGAATGTGTGCCATGAAACCGGTTTCTTTTACATCACTAGTCCTGTTGCTGGTGAGTGTACGTAGGGTTCCTCATAAATATTTGTGTTGTGTGTATGTATTGGGTGCCCTTTTGGGGGAGATTCGTATCAAGCGCCCTACTTCTTCTTACGGTTTAGAGTTTCGGGTTTAGGGTTTAGGGTTTGGGGGGTGACAGGTTTGGTTTGCTTTCGGGTTTGTTGTTGTGCTTCTGAAGGTTCTCGTCCCTTGTGGTTTGTCAGTTCAGGGTTTAGGATCAGCATCTAGGCCTGAATCCTGATCACACCCATGCTACTCGTACCAGAGCATCCAGTGGCCGGTGGCTCCATGACAATAAGGGTCCATGTAGCTTATTATCGAATACTTGGGCCCAAAAGTCCCTGCATGGGAAGTACTTTAAGGCCCAGGTATATAGTAGTAAGGTACATGGAGCCTTAGGGTGCCAGAACAACGATGGCGTCCATGCTACCAGTGCATCTCCGCAACGCGTGCATTCATCGGCCAGTGCCTCCATACCGGAAAGATGTCTACGCCCATGCTACTGGTGCATTGGCAAATTCAAAGGCGATTCATGTCTTCACATGATATCCTGCGCGAAATGCAAAACAAGTGGACGCATGAACGTCAATGAACGCACAAGCACATACGCGGAAAGCCAGGCATGCATGTAAACAGGCACGTGTGCTAGGGAACAGGTGTCCCTGTCAGTCTTTGCGGAAGCCAGAGACCAATTTCGAACTTCACGAAGCGAATGAAAGCACCACCACATGAACTGCGCTAAGGAGGGCTGCACAAGAGGAACCCCTCCTCCCCTCCCCAACCCTCATCCCTCATCCCTAAACCCTAAAACCCCCGCCCCTCCCTCCCCTCACAAGCCAAACGCCGAGGCGAGGTCCAGGCCATTGAGGCAGAGGATGCCAAGAACCGGCAAAGCTCCTCGGGCAACAGACCTATGAGCCCGTTTCAGCCCTTTTCAGCTCTATACATCCTATGTAAGCTCCTAAAAGCCCCCTAAACCCTGCAGTTTTACGGTTTAGGGCTTCGCTGCGTGCAGCCTTAGTGCGACAACGGCGCTAGAGCGCGTGCAAAGGTTCGCTAGGCCTGCTCTCCAAGACAACTTAGCAGTGTAGAAGGAAGCTTTCTCAAGGTAGTTTCATGGACCGTTAATATGGTCCCTAACCTCCCTAACCTCCTTTAACGGGTTCTGAAGGGTATATGAGGGGTACATAAGGGGTACCCTTTTGAGGGCCCATACAGCGGGACCATGTAACTACCCTTGGCATTAAGCCTGACCCGTTCATGTCCCTGAAGCCCTAGGAGCACACACGGCACCCTTAAACCCGAAACCCCAAACCCTAAAACCCTAAACCCGAAAACCCTAAGCCTTAAACCCTAATCCCTAAACCCTCCAAGCCCCAAAACCCCAAACCCCAAAACCCTAAACCCTAAAACCCTAAGCCTTAAACCCTACTCCCTAAACCAGGTGATTCATTTCGCTTCAACCAGCTCGTCAAGCTCTTCGCTACAGAGGCCGGACCCCTTCTGCCGGCTCAAGGGTTCTCTTTCCGGGTTCCCCTAAACCCTAAACCCTAAACCCTAAACCCTAAACCCTAAACCCTAAACCCTAAACCCTAAACCCTAAACCCAGAGCTTGTGTGGCTTCAATTTCCAAATCCTTGCATGGACGCTAAGCTTCAAGACTTCAAGAGCCACTGGTGGCCCGAAGCAGGCGCCAGGGAACTTCACCCGACAGTACAGCTTTGTGTCAAAGGTGTCGGGCTCAGGGTTAAGATTCAAGGTTTAGGGTTCGTTTGATCGGAACTTCCTGCCCCCCGAAATGAGATCGAGATCCTATGCACCCCCAAACGAGCCCCAGTGAGGCTTAATTATTATAGCGGCCTCCAGGGAGGCGGGGCTCAAGGGCGGGGTATGTAACCCAAATTTCCCTAATGCCCCCCGCTACTCCCTAATTCCCCAAGCCTCCCCTAGGTTCGCTAGGTACCTACCCCATGAACCCCAAAACCCTGAACACATCCCTAAGCGCTCTAAAACAACTCAAACCCTAAACCTGAAACCCTAAATCCCAACCCAAACTCCAAACATTCCCCGGAGCCTCCGAAGGTTCCCCTAGGTACCTGCCCTTTTAAACCTTAAAAGACCCTAAACCCTAAACCTTAAACCCTAAATCCCAACCCAAACTCCAAACATTCCCCGGAGTGATCCATGTCAAAGTCTTCTCCCCCCATGGTCCCCAGGGGCATCCGCAAAGAAAGTTCGGCGCTGGGAACCTTCGCGTCTCGTCTGGGCCTAGCCTCTACACCCTAAACCCTAAACCCTAAACTCTGAAGCCTGAAGCCTGAAGCCTGAACCCTGAACCCTGAACCCTGAACCCTGAACCCTGAACCCTGAACCCTGAACCCGTTCCGTGTTAGGGTTTCAGGCTCAGGGTTGCGGTTTCTGGGTGCGCTAAGGCCCCTAAAAGGCGTTAAGCCCTCACACTCCTACGCCCTCAATTGTGTTTAGGGTCTATAGAGGGTTTAGGGTTTAGGGTTTAGGGTTTAGGGTTTAGGGTTTAGGGTTTAGGGTTTAGGGTTTAGGGTTTAGGGTTTGGCGTCCTAAGCCCTTCCTTAAACCCAAGTTTCAGGGCAGCCTTCAACTTTTCCTCAGGTAGACGCTCTGGGGGTCGTTTAGGGCTCAGGGCTCTCTGAGTCGCAAACTCTATCCCCCTTGGGAAATGTTTTTTTTTTTTTTATAAAACCCCAGAGGGTATTAAAGATATGATTGTTACTCAGGTTCTATACGGGGGAGTATAGCAACAAGGTTAAGTGTTATAGCCCATTCAAGCAGACAAGTCTCGCAACCAGACTAGAATGCCTTAGGATTTTGGTGCCGCAGGAGTCCCAGCGCAGGCTTTCTTGGTTGGAAGTATTGTCAGAATCCTGACTCAAAGACCTACCCTAAAGAAATGCGACATGTGAATCCTTCCATAAAGAGAGCAAAATTATTTGTTGATCCACCCCTGACAGCCATCGAGATGTCCACCTTGCAAGACCCACCAGCCACACAAAATCCATAACTTTCTCAAGGAAATTCCTGGGTTTCCTACGGTGTACCTATCCTAAACCCGAAACCAAACCCTAAACCAAAAACCCCAAAGGGGCAAATGTAGTTCAAGGAGCCCCAGCGTCTGCGACCACCCGAAACCCTAAACCCGAAACCCGAAACCCTAAACCTAAGGCACCCTGGCAGAGCCCGCGCGTGATGGGCGCGCGCGGACAGCTTTGCTGGAGAGGGGTTTGGTGCTTTTTGGGGTCGAGGGTTTAGGGTTGAGCCTTTTAGGGGCTCTGGGTTTAGGGTTTAGGGTTTAGGGTTTATGGTTTATTCTGGTTTATAGGGCTGCGTGGATGGTCTATGCGCGCCAGAAATCTCTACCTGCAATGGTGCTGCGCAGACTTGTGTGCTGGAATTCAGTCATTCTGCAGACATTGCAGTGGCGCTGGTGTTCAGAGATTGGCCAGCATCGCTGCGTTCGGTTTAGCTTGCTTGTTCCGTTGGTTCAGAATGTGGCGTAAAGAAGCGAGCTGGGAACCAATTCTTTCTAATCTCTCTGGGGTGTTGGATAGAGATGGCGAGTTTTTTGTTGGTTCCCTAACCCAGAGGGACCATTTGTATTACTATGATGGAATTAGGTACCAACAGCCATACTAAATAGGGTTTTGGGGTACCTAAATCCATAGTATAGTATTACAAATGGACCCTCTGGGTAAACGATCTGGAATACGCGATGGACGTGACCCGATTCCATACAAAAGACCCTAAAACCTTAAACCCGATGAGGCCCGCCCTTCGCAGAGTTCGCCCAGCTCCCTTCTGAGAAAGCAGTAAGACCAAGGTTTTAGGGTTTAGGGCTGGGGGTTAGGGCTAGGGTTTAGGGTTTAGGGTTTAGGGTTTAGGGTTTAGGGTTTAGGGTTTAGGGTTTAGGGTTTAGGGTTTAGGGTTTAGGGTTTAGGGTTTAGCCTTCCGACCACACGTAAAGCCGCACAAAACGCTTGGTTTGGGACATGTCGAGCCGCTGAAAGCGCTTGGTTCGGACATGTACAGCCGCTCAAAGCACTTGGTTTGTGGGGGTGGGGGGTATGCGAATGGCCCTCACGATTCGGACATGTACAGCCGCTCAAAGCACTTGGTTTGTGGGGTGGGGGGTATGCGAATGGCCCTCACGATGAGAACGTCCGTGGCACGTTGGCCAGAGTATGTTGAGAACGTCCGTGGTACCAGTGCGTGCGAGTGGGAGATGATGAGACGTCCGTGGTACCAGTGCGTGCGAGTGGCCAGAGCATCCATGCCCGCACGATGAGAACGTCCGTGGTACCAGTGCGTGCGAGTGGCCAGAGCATCCATGCCCGCACGATGAGAACGTCCGTGGTACCAGTGCGTGCGAGTGGCGAGAGCATCCATGCCCTCACGATGAGAACGTCCGTGGTAGGAGTGCGTGCGAGTGGCCAGAGCATCCATGCCCGCACGATGAGAACGTCCGTGGTGCCAGTGCGTGCGAGTGGCCAGAGCATCCATGCCCGCACGATGAGAACGTCCGTGGTACCAGTGCGTGCGAATGGCCAGAGCATCCATGCCCGCAGGATGAGAACGTCCGTGGTACCAGTGCGTGCGAGTGGCCAGAGCATCCATGCCCGCACGATGAGAACGTCCGTGTTACCAGTGCGTGCGAATGGCCAGAGCATCCATGCCCTCACGATGAGAACGTCCGTGGTACCAGTGCGTGCGAGTGGCCAGAGCATCTATGCCCTCACGATGAGAACGTCCGTGGTACCAGTGCGTGCGAGTGGCCAGAGCATCCATGCCCGCACGATGAGAACGTCCGTGGTACCAGTGCGTGCGAGTGGCCAGAGCATCCATGCCCGCACGATGAGAACGTCCGTGGTACCAGTGCGTGCGAGTGGCCAGAGCATCCATGCCCGCACGATGAGAACGTCCGTGGTACCAGTGCGTGCGAGTGGCCAGAGCATCCATGCCCGCACGATGAGAACGTCCGTGGTACCAGTGCGTGCGAGTGGCCAGAGCATCCATGCCCGCAGGATGAGAACGTCCGTGTACCAGTGCGTGCGAATGCATCCATGCCCGCACGATGAGAACGTCCGTGGTACCAGTGCGTGCGAGTGGCCAGAGCATCCATGCCCGCACGATGAGAACGTCCGTGGTACCAGTGCGTGCGAATGGCCAGAGCATCCATGCCCGCAGAACGTCCGTGGTACCAGAACTTTAGATCCCTCGAACCCTCAAAGATTCGCTGAATTTATAGTGCCCAAAAACGCTGCTTCTAGCTCTTCCCCTCTGCATGCATCCCAGACTGCCACTTATCATCCCGTACTACCCTGCGTGGGACGCTCAGCACTTCCTGCCGACAACTCCTGTCTTGTCTCTACCTTCCACCGCTTCCCGCAACTTAAAATTCCAAGATTTTTAAGTTGCGCAATGGTTGCCGCTCAGCCGCTTGCCAAGCTCCAAAAGCGTGGCAGGCGCGATAGAAACAGTGCTGGCACTCCGCAGAAAAGCTTCTGGGCGCGGCTTAACGCGCGGTCGGAGCGTTTAGGGTTTAGGGTTTAGGGTTTAGGGTTTAGGGAGTTCAGCAGGAGTACTTCCAGCAGTACTACGATGCTGGCCTCATGGCTCTCTGCGTCCTCGGCCGTGAGTCTTTAGGAGACGCTCGGTCTGCAACTCTTTCGGCCCGGGTTTTGGGGATTTAGTAGGGTTTAGGGATTTAGGGTTTAGGGTTTAGGGTTTAGGGCTTAGGGCTTAGGGCTTAGGGCTTAGGGCTTAGGGTTTAGGGTTAGGGTTTAGGGTCGTAGGGTTGAAAGGGTTGGGTTTGAGGGTCTTCTCTGAGGGTAGTGTCGTGGACCCTTATTGTGGTCCCTAACCTCCCTTAAAAGGGTTCTGCTGTATGGGCACTGAAGTTGTATGGGGTATACCAGGGGAAAAAAGGGGTACCCTGTTAAGGGCCCATACTAAGGGATCATGTAACTACCCTTTGAAACACTGCAGGCCGCGGGGTGTACGGTTTAGGGCCTTGGGGTTTCAGTGGTGGGTTCTAAGGTCTTGTTTTTTTCTTTTAATCTCAGGGTTTGAGGTATTGAGGTATAACTATAGGGTCTAGGGTGTTGCAGTGTGTTGGGTCTTGGGTTTTGTTTAGGGTTTCGGTCTTTCCACGGCTCTTTGTATATTGCAGTTCTCCTTGGGCCCGTCAGAGTTGCAATAAGAGTATTGCCAGACATAGTGGCGCAGTAGTACCAACGGTAAGAATCGAAGAAGAGCAGCAATGGTAGACAAGTAGTAAAGGAAGTGAAGGTGTAGTCAAAAAAATAACAATAGGGTTACAGACCATCCTGGTGCTGCGACATCATGTGCGTTTTTGTTTTTGGGCTGTGCAGGCCCAGTCCTACCTACTGACCTATGGGTTTAGGGTTTAGGGTTTAGGGTTTAGGGTTTAGGGTTTGGGGTTTGGGGTTTAGGCTGTCGGTTGAAGGTTTACAGGGCTTTGGGTTCCTTAAGCCCAAAGAAACCTGCCACTTGAAATCAAGAGAGGCCTTCTTGGGTCCAGGGGTTTTTAGGGTTTAGGGTTTGGGGTTTAGGGTTTAGGGTTTAGGGCTCCTTGTTCTACTTTCGAGGGCTTTTGCGGGTTGAGGGGGGAGGGGGGGAGGGGCATTAGACCTGGAATCCTGGAGCCAAAAAACACCACACATCTGATCGGTTGGGCCCTTGATATGGCCCCTTGCTTCCCTTAAAGGGTTATGATGTATGGGCCATGAAGTTGTCTATAGAGTATAAAGGGTATTTGAGGGGTCCGCCTGTTAAGGGCCCATACTAAGGGACCATGGAACTACCCTATAAGATATGGGTTGAGGGCGTAGAGGTCTGAAGGTTGAGACTTGTTTAGGGCTCTTGGGGCTTAGGGTTAGGGTTTAGGGTCTTGAGTTGAGGGGATGAGTCACGGTTTAGAGGAGTTTAGGGACTGGGGTGCTGATCCAACAGCAGCCCCCAGCTTTTTGAATTGCAAAAAAGATTGCCCACATGAAAATTTACGAAATGAGGGCCCCTAATATAGACCCTGAAATCGCAGGCTTCCCTTAGAATAAGGACCCCAATACGGTACCCCTAAACCCTAAACCCTAAACCCCTTATAAGGATCCCAACAAGCTTAAATCCCAGACCCTCAAGAAGGTCTAACTTCGCCCTGGTAGGACAAAATAAAGGCTTAGGGGTTTAGCGAGAGGTTGCGCCGTTTTTGGTTCTTTATGTGGGTCTTTTTGTTGGGCTCATGCTTTTGGTGTTAAAGGCTTACAAGGGTTTAGGGTTTAGGGTTTAGGGTTTAGGGCTAGGGCTCCGGGGTGGGAAGTCCCGGGAACCCTGAACCTATGGCCAGAATCTACCTGCACTGCATCTGATGCAGTTTCGGTTAAGCCCATACTGCTAGGGTTTAGGGTTTGGTTTAGGGTTTAGGGTTTAGGGTTCAGGGTTTAGGGTTTAGGGTTGAGGGTCTCAAGGATCTCAAGAAGGTGGTGGAGCAGAGTTTTGGACGAATCCGAGGCGGGCGAACTAAGTCTTTTGGAGGGCTTAGGGCCTGGAGGGGTAGGGTTAGGGTTTAGGGTTTAGGGTTTAGGGTTTAGGGTTTAGGGTTTAGGGTTTAGGGTTTAGGGTTTAGGGTTTAGGGTTTAGGGTTTAGGGTTTAGGGTTTATTGTTTCGGGTTTAGGGTTTAGGGTTTAGGGTTGAGGGGTTGTTTTGGGTTGAGCGCTGTGCCTCTACAGAACGGCTGCGGGATCCAAGAGGGCTCAGACTAGCTGGCACCCTCCGCCCCTCCTAAACGGTGCCCTACACCTTTCACCCTAGCCCTAAACCCTAAACCCTAAACCGTAAACCCTACACCTCAACCCTAAACCCTAAACCCTGAATCCTGAACCCTAAACCCTGAATCCTGAACCCTAAACCCTATGAATCCTGAATCCTGAACCCTATGAACCCTAAACCCTATGCACCCTAAACCCTATGAACCCTAAACCCGATGAGCCCTAAACCCTAAAAACCCGAAGCTTCTCAACTCCCTCCCCTCCCTCCCCCCCCCCAACCCCAATGTCAGTAAGACCCAAAACCTAAGCTAAGCGCTCTCCAGTTGTTGGGCTTAGGATTTCGCATGTAGGATTCAGGGTTTGGAGCGTTATGGTTTTAGGTTCAGAGTCATGAAGAGTACCTCCCAGTATCCCTGAACGAATGCGCCCTCGACTTTCAAATCAAGCTCATTTCAGATACCTGGCATCTCAAGCACACTGCACTCGGAGGCTTTGTAAGCTTGAGGGTTGAAAGTAACATGCTTTGTGGTTAGGACTGGGAGTAGGCCCTTATTTACTTTTTTTGGGTTGGGGTCCCCTTATATTCCCCGTAAAACCAAAAAAGGGCACCCTTTTTATTCCTTGGTTACTCCTGGGTCTAGTACCTTGTGAATCCTAAGGGTGAGCCTGACAGCTAGAGATCTCCCGCATGGCACTATCTCCAAGCCATGCACCCTTGACGCACCCTTCCCTGACCCTAGACGGTTAATTCCTGAAATCCAGAAAGTGCCGCTGTAGCGTCCAGGACAACTTAACTCTGTGGTGCTTTACTGTAACTTTAGATCCTTAGCCTTTTTGGGCTTATAGGGTTTCTGAATAACGGCAGCCAAAAACTAGATTGATAGCTACCCTCCTAAGTGCAGCCAAGTTTAGAGTGGAGTGCTGTCGATACCACGACCAGGCTCGGATGATGGCCGTGACTTTTTTTCAGTGGTGCGACGAGGAGCGACCTTTGGGGCCTCTGCATGTCATGGAGGACCTACTGGACGCGCGGTTCTCCCTGCGACCGCGCCTGGATGCTGCCAGTGAGCGCCGTGCTCAAGTTTGCCGAGGCTATCTTCCACATGGGTAGTTCTCAAAAACTAGGGTCCCTTTTTAAAGGGTGCCGTCTTAGAATGGTTACCCAAAAGGGACCCTAGTTTAGGAAACTACCCACATGCATACAAGTCCGACTGAAGTCAGCCGTGAGCATGCCTTACACGGCCATGTCGGCGACTCCTCCGTGGTCAAGGGTTTAGGGTTTAGGGTTTAGGGTTTAGGGTTTAGGGTTTAGGGTTTAGGGTTTAGGGTTTAGGGTTGCGCGCAAGGAGTCCGGTGATGCCTTTTCGGCCCTGTGGAGCAGAGCAGCTCTTGCACGCGCGATCATGGTCCTAAGCCCTAAGCCCTATAGGCCCTAAGCCCTATAGGCCTAGGGCTTAGCCCCCTAAACCCGAAACCCTAAACCCTAAACCCCCTAAACCGCAACCCCCTGAACTGTAAACCCCGCAAACTCTAAACCCTATACCCTAGATCCTGACTCCTGAACCCTAAAACCCTACACCCTAGCCCTAAAACCTAAAGCCCACCCATCCGAGAAGCTAAACCCTAGCCCCGAACCCCACCCACCCGAAACCCTAAACCCTAGCCCTAAACCCTAAACCCCCTAAACCCTAAGCGCTATGAACCCTGCAAAGCAAGGTGCGGGCCTTCGCGCCTCGCCATTTTTGCCCTGGAGAGGGGTCGAGCACCTCGGCAAGAGACAGTCGGAATTCGAGGAGGGTTTAGGGTTTAGGGTTTAGGGTTTAGGGTTCAGGGTTTAGGGTTTAGGGTTTTGGGCTTATAGGGCAAAATTTGGGGTTTAACGGTTGGTGTAAGAAGGGCTCTCGGGGCTTGAGAGGGATGAGCGCGGTTCCTGGATGTAGGGGTTAAGGGGGTTTAGGGTTTAGGGTTTAGGGTTTAGGGAGTTGAAGGGGGTTTAGGGGGTTCCAGGGTTGAGGGTTGAATAAGGGGGGGGGGGGTTGAGGTCTAAGGCTTAGGGGTGTAGAGATTAGGTTTTGGGTTGAAGGCCTAGGGGATAGGGATTAGGTACTGGGCTTAGTGGGTTAGATGAGTTTTTCGGGCTTAGGCCTGCGTGTCTCCTTGTTCAGCTGCGTGCAGCGGATGGCTGTCTTAAGGTTTTTGTTTTGGGGTTAAGGGGTTTGGGGTTTAGGGGTTTAGGGTTTAGGGTTTAGGGTTTGGGGCCTAGGAGTCTATGGTTAGGAGGTCGGACGACACTCATTCTTCCTACATTTGGACTGTGAAGTTCAGCAGAGCACTTTAAGTAGAACGCCCGAACCCTCGACCTTACCATTGGAGCCTAACGACCACCAACTACATGCATAGCTGTCGGTTAAACCCTAAACCCTAACCCTGAACCCTAAACCCTAAACCCTAAACCCTAAACCCCTCCGGCGTTTTTTTGAGCGTAGGCGCCTGGTTTGGGGAGTCGTGGGTCGACGTCCTGAGGCCTTTTCCTCCACCAGTGAGGCTGGCGGGATAGTCCTTTGGGTTTAGGGTTTAGGGTTTAGGGTTTAGGGTTTAGGGTTTGGTGCGGCGTTTCCGTTTGGTGCGTTCAGGGGTGTGCAGCCCAAGCCCAGTTTGCATGTCACAGACAACGAGCGCGTGATGTGAGCCTGGCTGTCTTGAAATGTGGCAACCGCAATAGCAATACCCCCTTGCAGATGTTCCACGCCTGAAGCCCCATGTAAAACGACCTGCGGGATTCTTGTTCAGGGCGAGACGCGATCTCCGTACCCCAAACCCCAGCCAGTGCAACCCAAGACAGGCTGGTCTATAGGGGTTTAGGGCTCACGGGTGTTGGGGGTTTAGCTCAGGGGGTTTAAGGGTTCCAGGTTTAGATTTCACCACCCTCAAAGCGGAACGACTGTTAGAGATGTCAGGGGCAAGAGCTCCTCTACTTTTTGCTTCAGAATTCTCTTGACCTTATAAGGAGGATTATTTCTTTTTTTTGGGCGTGCTTAAGCAATTAGCAGTTATTCTTCTCTCTTAATTGTTCGGTTCGTCCCAAAATAGACAGCAAAGACCTCGATGAACCCACGCCCGAGCGCCGAGGGTTGAGAGGGCTTCTATCTAGACAAGCCAAACCGGGTACCCTTCTTGCTCCCAACTTGCGGGAAAATCTAGTCGGAATCCTAGAAACTTAATAATCATAATCATAATAAGAAGAAGAATATTAATAATAACAATATTAAGAATAAGAATAAGAAGAAGAAGAATCCTCAAACATGTTTATCCATTCCGAGGGTTCTGTGGAAGCTTAGTTGTTATCCAGAAAATTCAGAAGGCTGTTGGGCAGGATTTGGTGTTGCTGGGCTCCGACATCTATAAACCTGGAGTCCCAGAAGGGAGAGAGAGAGAGAGAGAGAGAGAGAGCGAGCGAGCGAGCGAGAGAGAGAGAGGGAGAGGGAGAGGGAGAGGGAGAGGGAGAGGGAGGTGGAGAGGGAGAGGGAGAGGGAGAGGGAGAGGGGAGAGGGAAGAGGGAGAGGAGAGGGAGAGGGAGAGGGAGAGGGAGAGGGAGAGGGAGAGGGAGAGGGAGAGGGAGAGGGAGCGCGAGACGGAGGGGTGTAGCTTTCCCAAGTGCCTATACCACCTTGATTGCGGGAGTACATGGACACCAAAAGGTTAGTGTGTATGTGCTGCCATAGGGACTAGTGTATTTTGCATGGCGGTATTTCCTTAACCCTCAAGCCAGCATAAAGTGTGATGATTCACGTCTTTTCAACTAAAGCTGAAGAACGCAAACTTCCCTGGAGTTTCTCCCGAAGCTTTCTCCTTCCGATAAGCCCTAAACCCTAAACCCTAAACCCTACACCCTAAACCCTAAACCCTAAACCCCAAACCCTAAACCCTAAACCCTAAACCCTAAACCCTAAACCTCCCAAAACGGCCACAGGCCTGGTTCCGAAGCTGTGTGGGTCGAGGCCAGCTGCCCCGACTTCTTGGGTTTAGGGTTTGGGGTTTAGGGTTTAGGGTTTAGGGTTTTGGGTTTAGGGTTTAGGGTTTAGGTCTTACTCACCAGGAGGCGACGACATGCGCCATAGAACATCATGCACCGCAGGGGAAACTTCCAAGTCCACCTGCCTTATTCAAAATCAGGTTTAGGGTCCAGGCTTAAAAGGGTGTAGGGCAACGTTGGATCCCTTTCGAGCCCTAAACCCTAAGCCCTACAAACCCTATAAACCCTAAACCCTAAACCCTAAACCTTACGAACCCTAAACCCCAAACCTCAACCTTGTTTCAGGTGGTGCCTGTGGCCGAACGGCGCAGCATCTCAGTCAGCTGGCCTTTCCTCTTCCGCAACGAGGACGAAAAACAGGCGAGCCGTGGAGCCTGCAGCCTCACCCTGAAACCCTTAACCCCTGAAAACCAAAACCACCCCAAACCCTAAACCCCAAACCCCAAACCCGAAACCCCTAAACCCTAAACCCTAAACCTTCGGGAGACGTTAGGCGTTATTTGGGCTCGAGCCGGTAGGCCTGGATCCACTGCAAGCCCTTCGCGGTGCTGAGCTTCCTTTTGGGCCACGAGGCTCGTGCCTCTGGGGTTTAGGGTTTAGGGTTTAGGGCTTAGGGCTTAGGGCTCAGGGTTTCTTAGCTTTTTGAGGGCTTGAGCGTTCAGATTTGGGGTCCAGGGTTTAGGGCTTAAGGTTGAGTTTTTTTTTTGTTTTTCTTCGGTTCTGTGTTGTTTAAGGTTTTTTGGGAGGGGTTTAGGGTTCAGAGTTTGGGGTTTGGGGTTTAGGGTTGAGGCTTGGTGCAGGGTTTAGGGCATAGGGCTTAGGGTTTTAAAGGATTTTTGGGAGGCGTTTTGGGGTGGAGTTCGGGGTTTGGGGTTTAGGGTTTAAGGCTTAGAAGCCAGCGTTTTTTTGGTTGTTTGGGGGGGTTAGGGTTCAGAGTTTGGGGTCTAGGTAGAAATTTTCACCGCCGAGGGCTGGCGCACTAGACCCCCCCAGCCCCCCTGCTGGTCTGACTTTGATGCTTCATACTAGAGCGTGTTACAAACCCTAAACCCTAAACCCTAAACCCTAAACCCAGGTTTAGGGCTTAGCTGTTGTTTTTTTTGTAAGGGTGTTCCCTGACGACCCAATGGGTTCTACCTTAGGGTCCCTGGAGCGGAAGTTGGGTGAGCAATTAGTTCAACAAACCTTGGGCAACGTGAAAGATAGAATGCAAATGGGGGTTTAGGGTTTAGGGTTTAGGGGTTTGGGGGTTTAGGGGTTTAGGGGTTCAGGGAGTAGGGTTTAGGGTTTAGGGTCTAGGGTCTAGGGTTTAGGGTTTGGGATCTAGGGCCGTTTAGCGTTTAGGGTGCCAGGGTTTAGGGCTACTTCAAATCCGAAGACTTGTGGATTGCGACTCGTAGACTCGGGCGCCCCTGCGAGGGGCCCTCTTCGCTTCTCAGTCGGTGGCGACGACACCTGTCGGAATGTATGACCCATCACGAAGCCCTAGACCCTAAATCCTAAAGCCTAAGCCTAAAGCCTAAAGATAAAGCCTAAAGCCTAAAGCCAAAAGCCTAAAGCCTAAAGCCTAAAGATAAAGCCTAAAGCCTAAACTACACAGAAAGCAGCCCCACCTTAAACCCCTTTGACCCTATAGGATCTCTAGTCGCCCTTCCCCTTTTGGTGCAGACATACTTCAGGCCTGCAAAAGCAAGTTTTAAGGCATAGCGGTTAAGGTCCCGAACGGGCGAACTACAAGGATTTTTGTTGTTCTGGGGTGCGCAGGTTCTCAAGACCTCAAACCCTGAAATCTGGCAATGCTTCCTTGAACGACTCCCGTGAAAAACCCATGTGCGTCAGTTCGTGTTGCATGACACGCACAGAATGCATGCCGAAACCTTAGCTTACCAGGCTCTGGCGCCCAATTGCATTTTTAGAATACGGTTATGTTGTCCGAAAATAGGTGTGCCCCCTGTGTACCCACCATACTCAAGCCCTGAACAGGGTTCGGGGCCTATGAAGGCCTAAATCCCCCCCCCAAAAAAAAAACAAAAATAGGTCCCCTTACATACCCCTTTTTTACCCTATACAAGTTACGGGCCCGTACATCAGAACATAAAAGCCCCCCCCCCCCCCCCCCGCAGTATAAAAAAAAACCCAAAACCCCCAAAGGGCTTTTAGTAATAGGGGTGGGTTCTGATCGTTTGTCCGAACAAAACAACCAGTCCTTCTAGCTTGTTGGCTCAGTCATAGAGCTGGATTCAAGTTTTAGGCCTAATAAGTTTTAGGCTTCCCCGCCCCCTAACTCTATAGAGACATTACAAGGGGCGACTGCCGGACCGGGTTTTGGGGCCAAAGGTTTCTTTGTTTATATATATATATATATGTTAACATCAGGGGTGAATTATATTTGGGGGAAGGGATTGCTTGGAGCTTCATGGTACTTAGTCGCTAATTGGAGCTGTACAGGCTGTACTTATAGCCCTGTTAGAAGTCCCCTAAGTCTAGTTACCTAGGCTATAATTGTCATATCTACAGTCATCATCAGTTACTAAGTACCATGAACCTCCCAAGTAGGGACCATATTAAGGGCCCATGAACCCTAAACCCTAAACCCTAAACCCTAAACCCTAAACCCTATATAGGTTAAGGGCCCATGAAACGACCCTTAGAGGGAAGACTCCATGAGGACGTGGCTGGGCGACTGGCGTGCTCCGGCATGGAAGGTCTAGGTCCTCTGAAAACCCCTCGCCCCGAAGCCCTAAACCCTAAACCCTAAACCCTAAACCCTAAACCCTAAACCCTAAACCCTAAACCCTAAACCCTAAACCCTAAACCCTAAACCCTAAACCCTAAACCCTAAACCCTAAACCCTAAACCGCAAAGGCACAAAGGGTTAAACCCAGAAACCCGGAAGGCATATAGAGTTTCTGGGGTTTAGTTTGTTCTTTGGGGTTTGGTCGCGTTTGGGGGTGTCGGAATTTCCCTTTGGCCCGAAACCCTAAACCCAAACCCTTGGCCTGGACTCACCCTTGCTCGTCGGTTGCCACCCTAAAAGACTTGCAGCCCAAGTCCTAAACCCTACTTGGAGGTGCATAAACCATAAACCCTAAACCCGAAACCCTAAACCATGGGCTTTACACCGCAACTACAAGTCTACTTAGAACCTACTTGGAGGACTTAGGGGGCTTACAGGTGCAGCACTAGTGGATCCCCTCAGCTTGTCGCCTTAACCTTCAATCCGACGGAAAAGCCCCCACCTCTATTCAAGGGTTTGGGTTTAGGGTTTAATGGGTTTAGGGATGAACCAAATCTTTGCCAAGGATGCTGGATTGCTACCTCTCGTCAAGGTTTGGGGTTGCACCCCCAACCCTATAGCCCTGTGTACTAAATGCAAACCCCTACTAGGCTCCATGTACCTATGTAGTATAATTTTTGGGCCTCCATAGAGTAGCTTTAGGGTCCAGGTATTTCTTATAGAAGTACATGGACCTTCGAGCAAACATGAGGAACCCTCCTTAAATGGCTGCCTTAGGCAACCATGTACCTTGTGTCGATGCGACCCTTTGAGGGGTTACACATTTCCTCAGACCCGAATGCCCGAACAACCTAAACCCGAAAACCCTAAACCCTAAATCCTAAACCCTAAACCCTAAACCTCTAAAACCCCAGCCCAAAGTCTTCAAGATGGCATGCCGCTGTGATCTCTCACCGGGTAAGCCGTAACCTGTAACTAGGCATCCGATGTAAAATCTTCAAGTTGTAGGGCACCGCAATTGGGTTCCCAGAGAGTAGGGCACCTTATTGGGAGTCGTATTGTAAGGGGATCCTACCACTTGAGGATCTATATTGGGGGTCCGTAAGACCCAGATATTACTAAGACCCAGAGTAGGTCCGTCTTCTCTTTTCAGAGTTTGGGCCCCCGAATATAAACCCCCAAACAGTAGGATTCCCATATAATAAGGACCCAATAAGGTAGCCCCTAGTTTCGGAAGCCCTAAACCCTAAACCCTAAACACCAAGTACATGGGCCCTTAGGGTGTTTGGGTCCCTGTGACAGCGCGTTTCTGGAGAGAGGGGTCACGCGCATGCTCCGAGGTTTTGGCCGGCGCCGTGCGGGAGGACTAAAACCCTAAACCCTAAACCCTAAACCCTAAACATCTGGATTTGAGATGATCGAAGTGAGCCAGGATGACCCAACTAACACCCCGGTCTTCCCTGTCTTCAATACATCTAAGAGGGTAGGTGTATGATCCCCTAAAATGGTCCTTGCCTGAAGTATGGGCCCTTAAGTTGTGTAGGGTATAATAAAGGGTAGATAAGGGGTCCCCTTCTCAGGGTCCATACTAAGGGACCATGTAGCTATCCCAAGAGAGTTCGGTCCGGGGACTAGGTCCAAGATGGTTCAAGTGCTGCAAGGGGGTTTAGGGTTTAGGGTTTAGGGTTTAGGGTTTAGGGTTTAGGGGGTTCTGAGGGCGGCAGCCCAGAACCTACCATTTTCAATCTTTGCCTGAGTTACTGTGAAGGAACTCAGACATCAGCCACCACCACAAGGAAGCCATGCTCGTCGTTTCTCCACTGTATGGGAGCTTCGCTGAAGTTCGCAAGCAGCAAGGAGATTTGGAGTCGCAAGCCCTGCACCCTCAACCCTCAACCCTCAACCCTCAACCCTAAACCCTAAACCCTAAACCCTAAACCCTAAACCCTAAACCCTAAACCCTAAACCCTAGGGTATCGGGTGTGGCCAGGACGACAACTTTGTCTTGCTGAAAGTCGGAGTGGACGTGACGCAGGAGCTGTGGATCCGAGCCTGTCCCCTTGTAAAGCCCTAAAGTTCTTCGAAAGGTTTAGGGTTTAGGGTTTTAGGGGCTTAGGGTTTAGGGGTTTTGGGTGTAGGGGTTAGGGGTTTTAGGGGGAGTTCGGGCAAATAGTTCCTATAGGGGGGCACGCGGTAATTCCCTCCCAAATCCTAAACCCTAAACCCTAACCATCAAGTAAAGCCCAAAAGCCCTAAACCCTAAATCCTAAACCCTAAACCCTAACCATCAAGTAAAGCCCTAAAGCCCCAAACAACCCCAATCTTGGGCCCTGCCAGGAGGGCCTCTCGCGCCGGGACGACATCATCGAAGGCGTCTATGGCGTGCTGAGGCTGAGGGTTTGTTTAGGGTTTAGGGTTTAGGGTTTAGGGTTTAGGGTTTAGGGTTTAGGGTTTAGGGCTTAGGGTTTAGGGTTTAGGGTTTAGGGTTTAGGGTTGATAGGGCGTCGGGATTTGAAACAAGTTAGGTTCTGGTTAGTGTTCGGGGCCCTGGTTTTTGCTGTGACATATGTGCTTAGGGTGCACTGGTCTCGAAGCCTGGGACTTGTCTTAGGGTTTATAAGCAGTTCGTGGTTTGGAGTCTAGGGTTTAGGGTTTAGGGTTCAGGGTTTGGGGCAGACGGTATGGAGGCTAAACAAATGCCAGGGCCAGGGAGCATCATGAGCATCCGCCGGACTGTTGGAATTACTGTGTGCTGCATTCTTTGTATACTACATTGGGAGCCTTAATTTAGGTATAGGCTCACGGGATGAAGACTCGTACCCCTAAGGTTGTACCCCTACAGGTTCCCCTCAAGATACTCCCAATCTAGCCCGAAGACTACCTTAAGGATCATTAAAAGCTGTCCTCAAAACCCAAGCGTGCAACCACAAGGGTTCGAGGCACAACTCCTAGACTACTAGACCCTAAACCCTAAACCCTAAACCCTAAAGCCCACAAGTTCGCGCCCCGGTATACCTGCCCACCCCGTGAGGCAGCTGGAGCGCGATGGGATCCCTGCGCCAGGTGGTCGCACGTAAGGGAGGGGGGGAGACCCTAAACCCTAAACCCTAAACCCTAAACCCTAAACCGGGGGGCTGTTATCGCCCTGAAACCCTGAGCCCTAAACCCCAAACTACAAACCCTTCCCCCAGTTTGGGGAGATGTTAGGATTTAAACCCGGCGCTAGACCCCTACACCCTGCAAGGTTGAGGTATATTAGGGTTTAGGGTTTAGGGTTTAGGGTTTAGGGTTTAGGGAGTGTCTGAGTCCCCCCCGCAGCGGCTGCTGAACACGGTGCACGCTCCCGAAATCCAAACAAACCCTCATTGCGACAACTTGGCGTCATTTTGGGGTTCCCCGACAATAGGGGTACCCTTTTTGGGGGTCCCCTTAAGGGGATTCTATTCTATTTGGGGTACAAAAAGGGGTACCCCACATTTTGCGAAATACCCATTTGCGTGGATCTTACTTTGAAAGCGAAATGAACCCTAGAATTGGGGTCATATACCCTGTACTACTATATTTCCTACTAAGGTATATGAAGCACAAGCCCTTTTAGGGTTCATGTCGTCCCCAAGGATTACTTAACTTCTCTTTTTGCATCCTTTAGAAGCTTGGGCCCTCGAGCCATGGAGTAGGCGTCCCTAGGCGTTTGGATGGTTGAGTTGCTGGCAACCCTAAACCCTAAACCCTAAACCCTAAACCTTAAACCCCAAGCCCTAAACCCTAAACCCTAAGCCCTGAACCCTAAACCCTAAACCCCCGAACCGGAATGGAGCTCCCACAGCACCCAAAGGTACCTCCTGGACGAAAGCAGCACCATGGCCGAGATCCGCTTTCGATTTCAGGCGCCAACAAAAGCTAGGGTTTAGGGTTTAGGGTTGAGGGTTTAGGGTTCCGGGTTTCGGGTTTCGGGTTTAGGGTTTAGGGCTTAGGGCTTAGGGCTACTTCTCGTAGGACCCAGAGTAGGCCCTTATTCCCTTTTCTTAGGGTTGGGGCTCCCTTGTAAACCCCGTTTAAACCACAAAGGGCACCATTTCTCTTCCTATGGTTTAGGGTTTAGGGTTTAGGGTTTAGGGTTTAGGGTTTAGGGTTTAGGTCACTCCTGGTCTAGAAAGCCAAGCCTTCGAAAGTATGAGACTCCAACTTAGGGTTAGATTTTTTTTAGGGCTGGGAGGGTTCGGGTGTAGGGCTTAGGGTTTAGGGTTTAGGGAGGTTAGTTTTTTGGATCCCATACAGAACTTCTTCCGAAGCCCTGGACAGGATTAATCAGGCTCAGGTTCCTAGACCCTAAACCCGAAATCCTAAATCCAAATTGAAGTGGGGTTTAGGGTTTCGGGTTTCGGGTTTAGGGTAATTCCCTAAACCCTAAACCACTAAACCACTAAACCCTGAACCCCTGATCCCAGTTGAAAGGATTTGGGGCTCCCAAGCCCGAAGCACTGAGCCCTAAAACCCTATACAGAGTCACATCACCTCAGGCATACCCCAGGTCTCTAGACCCTAACCCTAGACCCTAACCCTAAACCCTAAATCTAAACCCTAAACCCTAAACCCTAAACCCTATGATTGTCATGCCTCTGCTGCGTGATTTTTCACAGAACTGACGCTCTTGATGTCTGGAAGGATGCAGACGATGGCACTCGTACTACGTCTGCCATGCGTCAACATCCCAAAAAGTAGCCATCGACTAGGATGCCCAGTAGTGCCCTTATTCCCTTTTTGGGGGGGTTAGGTTCCCTTATAAACCCCTTTAAGCAAAAAAGGGCACCCTTTTTTGGGCAACCCAGTAGATGACAAGACAACCCGTATACGGGCCTCCAGAGTGCATGCGGGAGTGGTGCGGGCAAGAGAGGCTGCTTCGCTTGAGCAGGCACTCTCACGCGTCTCGGCCTTGGGCCGACGCCGTTGCTCCATCTCCCATGCGCGTCTCAAAATTCCCGAAACCTTAAAGCCTATAAACCCTAAACCCTAAACCCTAAACCACACTCATGTCCTCGTTGTCCCTGGCCCAACAGTCGTGAAGGCGGCGAAAGCTGCCGAACAAGACCACAAACAACGTTGCGCACCCTCAGCCCCAAAGCTATACATGAGCCCTGCAGAGTCTTCAAGCCCTAGAATTCCCGTGGAGCACCAAAAAGAACACAAGAATAGGTCCCAGCTCGTAGTCTAGGACCCAGAGTAGATCCTTCTTATCTTTTTTGCGTTTGGGCTCCCTTATAAACCTCTTCCTGTTATTCCTAGGTTACTCCTGGGTCTAGCCCTAAACCCGAAACCCTAAACCCTAAACCCTAAACCCTAAACCTCCTTAGCCGTTCACAGGCCAAGCCAGCTGCTGCCCGCTCCTCAGGCGTTTTGCGGTTTTTAGCGCTTCGTGGAGATTTAGGCGGTCCCCAAGCAAGGAGCACATTAGGGTTTAAAGGGTTTCTTAGGGTTTAGGGTTTAGGGTTTAGGGTTTAGTGTTTAGGGTTAGGGTTGACGACCAGCTGCAATGCCAAGAGTGTGGGGCGACGGGCGTTCCGTTGAGGATGTGAAGTGTAGAGTTTCATGCTGGGATTCTACAGCTTCGGGTTTAGGGTTTGGGGTTTAGGGTTAGGGTTTAGGGACGTAGAAGCCCAAAGCGCTCAACAAAAGCCACAAAACCCCGACAACCTCGGCAAATCCTCAGAAAACTCTGGGCCCTACATTTCCCACCCTGAGACTACCACTTGCTTAAGAACCCCCAACAAATTAAGCAACAAAGAATCCCTATATTTCCCTCATAAGGAATATCTCGATATTTTGAGAGGTTCTTAAGCAATTGGTAGGAAAGGCCTTGGAAAAGAAACAGGAAGTCTCCCCAGTCCCTCGACCCTTTAACCGAAATCCCTCTTTTCATGTACATTACTTGGAGGTTCATGGACTTAGAAACTAATTACAACTGTACCTATGTAACCCAATTGTAAGTCCCCTAAGTCTAGTTACCTAGGCTATACAGTTATAGTTAGTTCCTAAGTACCATGGTCCCTTCTACGGGTCCCTCCTTTTATACCCCTCATAATTAAGGAGTTCTGGCCGACCTCGGCCAACGAGAAAATGGGCGGTCGTGCGGACCAACAGTCCTGGTTCTCACTAGGGTTTTGGGTTTAGGGGTTTGGGGTTTACGGTTTAGGGTACTGGCTTCAGAGGGGCAACTACTTGGTGTTGCTTTGTTGACACTTTCAGCAACCCCGCTCTATTTGTTCTTAGTTTGAGTTGATTTTGCTGCTGAGCTGGCTTTTGTTTCTTTTCGTTGCGGTTTTCAAGCACTTCTGTTCCACAATGTTGATGAGGTTTTCAGCGCGTTAGCCTACTTAGTTTATTGATGTCTGTTGAACATATCCAAACCTTTTGGCATTGTTCATCAAAGTCAATCTAAACCTGTCACAAGCTGCATGCCGCATGCATCTTGGTCACGGGACCCTCACAGTGCGGTGTTTCGACGCCAAGCCAGCCTGGCAAATTACCTCATGTGGCCATCGCACAAAGAAACGTCCTAGAATCAAGTTGCTTGTCACCTACAATGAGCGGCCATGTTGAGTCCGCTATGTGGTGCGCTGCCCTGGTGATTCTCTCCATCCACCTCCAGGGCTGCGGCTATGGCACGGCCTACGGCACCGAGGCTGAAGCCCTGAGCGCCATTTGCGGGGGATCCTCGTGCGAAGCCTCCTGTACCTGCTGCGTGCGCTCGCTCTGGGCTTCGGGTCAGGAATGCGTGGAGGGCATGACTGTGAACTCGACAGAAGCCTGCCGTTCGTGCATCAGTTCAGCCACTGAAGGGTGGGAACCTGAGAACTGCTTCACGGAGCGCAACATGGGGTATTGTGGCAGTCAGTACTGGGACAACAGCCGCGGCGAATGTGAAATGTACAACGCCACGTGCGGTGCTGGATTCATGCCCACTGAGTGATGGCTGTCAAGCACAAGTGAATGATAATTCAGCATGAGATTCAGCCGAATGGTTAAGTTTCCCTCATCTGGTCCATATCCACTTGACGGGTGCTTCTCGAAACAATTTGTGCTGATGGAGACAAAAAATGGGCCGAGCGCCATTGCCATTCAGTCGTTGTTTCACGGCTACCTGGCCGGATGATGCATTCAGGGGTCCAGGGTGCTTACGACTCCTCCTCCTCCTCCTCCTCCTCCCAGGCCACCAGCGCAATCACCTTTGTGGAAGCCATCCAGCGTGGATACGGGCCAGCGAACTACGTGCGCATTGGCCTTTAATTTCGGGCTCACAGCGGAACCGGGTTTGTAGGGTTAGGGAGGGTTTAGGGTCTAGGGTTCAGAGTTTTGGGTTTTGGGTTTTGGGTTTAGAGGCATCAACACTCAACCTGGGGTGGGACGTGTGAGTTGTAAGGTTTTACCTAAGTGAAGAGTCCATATGGTGAGTTTTCTAAACATGGTCCTTCTTTGGTTACCCTAAATAAGAGGTGCCGCCTTATAATAAGGACCCAAAAGGGACCATATGTTGGAGAAGTGCCTCAGTAACGTGGCCCCAAAGTCACACTGTTTTTCGCTACGTTGTAGCCCAAGTGCACCCAGCATTCAAGTACATGGGGCCCGTGGCAAGCCCTAAACCCAAAAACCCTAAACCCCAAACCCTAAACCCTAAACCCTAAACCGCCCTGCGACCTCAGTTGCGGCCCTGCTCTGCCTTTGCCACTCCCGGGCGCGCCGCCGCTGTCGCAGCAGCTGGCGGCCGTGATCTCGCAGATGAGGCTCCGAGTTTCGGTGATTGGGTTTAGGGTTTAGGGTTTAGGGTTTAGGGTTTAGGGTTTAGGGTTTAGGGCTTAGGGTTTAGGGTTTAGGGTTTGGGGCTGAGGGTTTGGGGTTTAGGGTTTAGGGTTTAGGGTTAGGGTTTACGGATTGCGGCCTCTGGGGTTTGAGGCCTCTAGGGTTATAGGCTTATAGGTTATAGAGTTTATACGGTTTGCATGGGTCATAGGGCCTATGTGGTTCATAGGGTGCATATATAGGTCTTACAGGGCTGATAGGGCTTGGAGGGGCTTAGGGCTTCGGTGATGCCGTGTGGTTGGCCGGACTTTATGTGATGCAGGGTCCACGTTCGAAGGTTTTGCTGAGTATCTGTATGAATGTTTGGGGGATACAAGCAATACGCAAAGACCCTGCCTCGTGTTTAGCAGATGCGGATAAATACCCTTTGAAAATCCCTACCTCAAGAGACCCACTTGTTCTGGGCTACCTCAGAATCCTATAGGGTACGAATAATCTAAACCCTAAACCCTAAACCCTTAACCCTTAACCCTTAACCCTTAACCCTTAACCCTTAAACCCTAAACCCTAAACCCTAGACCCTAGACCCTAAACCCAAGAAAGGTACGTTTTGAGTTCTTAAGGTATCCCTGGGGAGGCCCGAGCACGCGTCCCAGTATGCCACCAGCAAAGATTTCAAGGCAGGGCGGGGCCAACCGCCCGGAGCCCCTAAACCCTAAACCCTAAACCCTAACCCCTAACCCCTAAACCCTAAACCCTAGACCCTAGAACCTAGACCCTGAACCCTAAACCGTAAACCCTAAACCCTACCCCAAAGAAGACCCTAGCCGAAGGTCCCCAAGCCTCAACCGAAACCCGGGACCTTCTAAACCTTCTTTAGGCTTGGACTGTTTAGGGTTTAGGGTTTAGGGTTTAGGGTTTAGGGTTTAGGGTTTACGCTTCTCTTGTTGGGCCTAAGAGGTTCTTTAACAAGCCCTGAACCCTTGTTGGTGGGTGGCTTCGGGTTTAGCTTGGGATGTTCCCCGTTATGCCAACACTCTTTTTTTGGGAGTATAGGAGCGGGGTACTATAATCCATGTTAAGGGCTGTCAAGGTTTAGCTCAAGTTAGGTCGCGGGCTCGATGGCCCTCAGCCTACCCCCGAGGCTCTAGACACCCCGCGCTGGAAGCCTTTCGAGGGGTAGTTTCATGCGCCCTTACTATGGTCCCTTAGGGGTATATAAGGGGTACAACGCTAAACCCTAAACCCTAAACGCTAAACCCTGAGGGCCCAAACTAAGGGACCATGTCACTACCCTAAGAGCCTTTGGGCCCAAAACCCACACCACCTGTGTTTTTTGGGGGTTTAGGGTGTAGGGTGTAGGGTTTAGGGTTTAGGGTTTAGGGTTGAAGCTTCAGGGTGTAATATCGGGTCGGAAGAATTACGAATAGTATTCCCTCAGGGTCCCTTTATAGAATATGCGATAGTGACCCCCTATAAACCCCATTCTTACTTATTAAGGCCCCGATATTCGGATCCGGCTAGCAGAGGCCAAAGCGACCGCCTCTGAGCAGTGGCAGCTTGGCGTATGCTAAGCAGATAAAGCCCAAAGCCCTATAAGCCCAAAGCCCTAAGCCCTAAGCCCTAAACCCTGCAATGTTCCCCCCCTTGTACTAGTACCTCCTTGTTCTAATCCCTATTAAGGACTGCGAGTGGAAGGAGGAACATCCCAAGCCTAAACCCGACGATACCCTCAGCGATAATAATCAACCTGATGCTGATGCTGAAGGCGCCACATGGAAGTAGGGTTTGATATGATAGACTGGATGTATATGGGGTTTCCTGTATATCTGCTCCGTGTTTTTCTTGGGTACCGCTTTGGATTGGGGATCCGAGCAGTAAACGCCCTAGCTCACCCGTAACCTGATGCGTCAGCCGGGCACTGGCGTTGCCCGAAAGGGCGGGGCCAACGAGCATCGCGAGCATCAGCTGGGACCCTTCTTCCCAAGCTGCCAGGGCCAGCCACGCATCACGAGCATCAGCGGGGAACTGGCTTGCCCGAAAGGGCAGGGCCAACGAGCATCATGAGCGTCAGCTGGGACCCTTCTTCCCAAGCTGCCAGGAGCATCGGCGGGGAACTGGCTTGCCGCCTGACAGGCCAACGAGCATCATGAGCGTCAGCTGTGACCCTTCTTCCCAAGCTGCCAGGGCCAGCCACGTACCAGGAGCATCGGCTGACAACTGGCTTGCCTGACAGAGCAGGGCCAAACCAGCATCATGAGCATCAGCTGGGACCCTTTTTCCCAAGCTGCCAGGGCCAGCCGTGCATCACGAGCATCAGCGGGGAACTGGCTTGCCTGAAAGGGCAAGGCCAACGAGCATCACGAGCATCAGCTGGAACCCTTCTTCCCAAGCTGCCAGGGCCAGCCACGCATCACGAGCATCAGCGGGGAACTGGCGTGCCCCGAAAGGGGAAGGCCAACGAGCATCGCGAGCATCAGCTGGGACCCTTCTTCCCAAGCTGCCAGGGCCAGCCACGCATCACGAGCATCAGCGGGGAACTGGCTTGCCCGAAAGGGCAGGGCCAACGAGCATCATGAGCGTCAGCTGGGACCCTTCTTCCCAAGCTGCCAGGAGCATCGGCGGGGAACTGGCTTGCCGCCTGACAGGCCAACGAGCATCATGAGCGTCAGCTGTGACCCTTCTTCCCAAGCTGCCAGGGCCAGCCACGTACCAGGAGCATCGGCTGACAACTGGCTTGCCTGACAGAGCAGGGCCAAACCAGCATCATGAGCATCAGCTGGGACCCTTTTTCCCAAGCTGCCAGGGCCAGCCGTGCATCACGAGCATCAGCGGGGAACTGGCTTGCCTGAAAGGGCAAGGCCAACGAGCATCACGAGCATCAGCTGGAACCCTTCTTCCCAAGCTGCCAGGGCCAGCCACGCATCACGAGCATCAGCGGGGAACTGGCGTGCCCCGAAAGGGGAAGGCCAACGAGCATCGCGAGCATCAGCTGGGACCCTTCTTCCCAAGCTGCCAGGGCCAGCCACGCATCACGAGCATCAGCGGAGAACTGGCTTGCCCGAAAGGGCAAAGGCCAACGAGCATCGCGAGCATCAGCTGGAACCCTTCTTCCCGAGCTGCCAGAGCCAGCAAGGGAACTGGCTTGCCGCCTGACAGGCCAACGAGCATCATGAGCGTCAGCTGTGACCCTTCTTCCCAAGCTGCCAGGGCCAGCCACGCATCAGGAGCATCGGCGGGGAACTGGCTTGCCTGACAGGGCAGGGCCAACGAGCATCATGAGCATCAGCTGGGACCTTTCTTCCCAAGCTGCCAGGGCCAGCCACGCATCAGGAGCATCAGCGGGGAACTGGCTTGTCTGAAAAGGGCAGGGCCAACGAGCATCATGAGCATCTCGTCGTAGCCCCACGAACCCACGAATCTCTCGCCCCTTCAACATCTAGCAAATCTGAAGCCTAGTCTAAAGTCCAAACCTGCCCTGCAAGCCTAAATCCTACTAAGCCCTCCAAGGTCAACATGTGTATATACGTACACCCTGCACCCTGCCTAAACCTGAAACCCTAAAACCTAAAAGCCCTCAACCCCAGTATGTGTAGTATGCACTTACATAGTACGGACGGTCACATTGCAACTTCTCTCTCGAAAGCCACGAAGCGCACGAAGCGGCCTCTAACATCTTTGGAATTCCTCACAAATCCGGAGCCCGAAATCCTAAACCGAAACCCGAAACCCTAAACCCTAAACCCTAAACCCTAAACCCCAAACCCTAAAAGGGGTGCAGCAGCCCAGCAAAGGTACGGGACGAGCTACGGCTTCGCTGCCGTGGAGGACGGAACCCTTTCACGCTGGCGCGACCCTGGCGTGGTACCAGGCCAAAGCTCTCAAGAGTGGTTTAGGGTTTAGGGTTTAGGGTTTAGGGTTTAAGGTTTAGGGTTTAGGGTTTAGGGTTTAGGGTTTAGGGTTTAGGGTTTAGGGTTTAGGGTTAGGGTTTCGGGTTTCCGGGTTTAGGGTTTAGGGTTTGGGGTTTGAGTTTAGGGCTTCAGAGTCGAGGGTTTTGGGTTGTGAGAAGTTTTGGGGAGCGTTGGGGAGTCGCACTGTTAAGGGCACAGGTTTAGGGTTTAGGGTTTAGGGTTTAGGGTTTAGGGTTTAGGGTTGGGGACTGGGCCAGCAGCAGTTGAGTTTAGGGTTTCTGTGGGTTTGGGGGGTTAAGTTTACGGGCTTGGAGGCGCTTTAAGGCTGTGACGCTCTTTTTTTTAAGCCCTCAATTCCAAACCCCAGGCCCTTAGCCAAAACCCTAAACCCTAAACCCTAAACCCTAAACCCTGAACCCTGAACCCTGAACCCTGAACCCTGAACCCTGAACCCTGAACCCTACCGACTCTAGGGTCCCCAACTTGGACCCTAAACCCTAAACCCTAAACCCTAAACCCTAAACCCTAAACCCTGCAGTTTCGGAACTGACTCTGCAGGCTACGCCGTGCCGCCTCCCAACCGATACATTCCGATGCTCGGCGTGCAGAATTCTGTAAACCCCCCAAGGGTTTAGGGCTTAGGGTTTAGGGTTCAGGGATACTTGGGGGGTTCAGGGTACTTATATAACCCCAATTAAAACTGTACGTATAAGCCCCTAAGTCCTCCAAGTAGTTACAAGAAGACGTAAAAATTGGGCTTAGAAGTACCCATGAACCTCCAAGTAAGCCTCCTAAACCTAAACCCCTAAACCCCTAAGCCCCCCTAAACCCTAAACCCTCAAACCTTAAGTAGCTTCCTGAAGATGCAGGGAAAACCCACATGAACATAGGGATCCTACTATTGGGGTATAAGGGCCCCTATAAGGGGGATTCTGGAAACCCAGTCTGTAGAATCCTTATGTAATGTTTATGTGTTTTTTCGGCGCCCTGGGTAGGTAGTGCGATCGAACACGCATCAGGAGAGATTTCTCGCCACGGAATGCGCAGGCGCAGCTGCTGAATCTCGGGGTAGCAACCTGCGCCGGGGTTCTGCATGGTAGTTGCCAGTAGTTACGCGCCCAGGCCCTACGATAAGAATGCTGAAGCTTGTTGGCGTGTCAGAAGCATTGTTGCACCAGAAGGGTCTGGAACTGGCGCTAGAATTGGGGTCTTCTCGGGTTTTCGGTGCCTTCCTGGTTAAGACACTCACCCTGCTGGGACCCTTAACCTCACTAACTCACACTAGACCTCCCATATCAATCCTTATCCAACTCTTACCGAAAGCCTCTTGCGATAATTATGCGGCTGTATTCTAGCACCTGTGTCGGCCACAGGGTGCAAACCCTTGCCTGCCTGAGGACCCAATTCGTACATACCCCCCTTGCGGCAAACACAGCCCTAAATCCTAAGACCTTCTCAACCGCAAGGGCTTCTATGGGCCCTGTGTAATTGGAACCCTAAACCCTAGGGGTTATCAACCCCGAACCCTACACCCTACAAGCCATGCGGTTTAGGGTTTAGGGTTGAGAGTTTAGGGTTTAGGGTTTAGGCAACCCCAAGCCCTGAAGCCAACTATAACCCTACACGGACCTACGCCCAAAGCAAGCGTAGGTGCCAGCGGCCGAGCGAGCAGAGGCTATAGCAGAGCCTCCCCGCGTGCTCCAGGATGTTGCACAGGGAGATGGGTTGCGAGTTTCAGGGTGTTGGGTTTAGGGTTCAGGGTTTAGGGTTTGGGGTTTGGGGTTCGGGGTTTGGGGTTTGGGGTTTAGGGCTAGGGTTCAGGGTTTCAGGGTATACGGGTGGAGGGTTCATTTTTAGGGTCTCGGGCCGAACCCCAACAAGCTAGCTCTAAACCGCAAAGCCTTGAAAGCCTAAGTCCCTACACCCCGAAAGCCACGCACAGCCCCGAAACCCCGAACGCCACATCTGACAGTGTCCAGGACCTGGAGTAGGCCCTTGTTCCCTTTTGTTCGGGCTTCGGTTCCTTCATCAACCCTAAACCCTAAACCCTAAACCCTAAACCCTAAACCCTAAACCCTAAACCCTAAACCCTAAACCCTAAACCCTAAACCCTAAACCTGAACCCTAAACCCTAAACCCTGCACCCCCTTAATAAAGCAAAAAGGCACCCTCATCTCTTGGGTCTAGGTGTAGCGTTGAGGTTACGCGGGAAGGCTGCTGGTGTAGCATGGCATCACTCTTCGGCATCATGTGGGGTTTGGGGTTTAGGGTTTAGGGTAAACCCTAAACTTTAAACCCTAAACACTACACCCTAAACCCTAAAACCTAAACCCTAACCCCTATAAACCTTGAGACAGCAGATTGGTACCCACCTTTGCAGATGGCCGGCCAGTGGCCGCAGATGGCCGGCCAGCGGCCGCAGATTGTCGGCCCGTGGCCGCAGATTGTCCCCCCCCCGCCGCCTGCAGCCACAGATTGTCCCCCCGCGGTCGCTCGCGGCCGCAGATTGTCCCCCCTGCGGCCGCGCCGCAGACTGTCCCCCTGCGGCCGCCCGCGCCGCAGATTGTCTCCCCGCGGCCGCAGATGTTCATGGCACAAGCAGCTTTTGTCCGCGATGTGCAGAGACGTGAACCGCACGAGAGTCAGGCACCCGAGCATGGTGACATCGATCGGTACACGCGATGTCCAATGATGGGGATGCCCAAACCCCAATTACACCCTCAACCCCTAAACCCACTCTCGGGATGAACTCTCATCGATCAGCCCAACCCTAAACCCTAGTTTCGAGGCTACCCCCGTGTTGCAAAGCCTCGAGATCGCGCTTAGGGTTTTCATTTTCAGGCTTCAAGGGCTTATGAGGTGGCAGCGGGGCCTTAAACCACCACACCCCAAGCTCCAAAACCCTGCATGGTTTGCGGTTTAGGGTTTAGGGTTTAGGGTTTAGGGACTTGAACCTCTCAGCCATTACATCCCGGCTGCCGGAGGACGACGAGCGGCATCTCGGTGGCAAGTCGGCCTAGGCCCTCATAACCCGAAACCACCCTTAACCCTAAACCCTGTACCCTGTACCCTGTATACCCTAATCCCACCCTGAGCCTCATTGGAAGATTCAGCATATGGGTATTTCCCAAAATGGGGGTACCCCTTTTATACCCCAAATAGAATAGAATCCCCTTAAAGGGACCCCCAAAAAGGTACCCCCCCATTTGGGAAACCCCTAAACCCTAAACCCTAAACCCTAAACCCTAAACCCTAAACCCTAAACCCTAAACCCTAAACCCTGTAATCTAGATGAAGGTGTACGAATAGCTGTCCTTCGGTACTCGGCTCTGAGGCTTTGGGGGGCTGGGGGCAGGAACTGATGGGATGCTTGGTATCTTCCCTTTCTAGGATCCCTTTTTTGGGGGGTTTAGGGTTTAGGGTTCAGGGTTTAGGGTGTAGAGTTTAGGGTTTAGGGTTTAGGGTTTAGGATTCAGGGTTTAGGGTTTAGGGTTTAGAGTTTAGGGTTTAGGGCTACTAGGACCCAGAGTAGGCCCCCTATTCCCTTTTGTTTTAAGGGTTTGGGCTCTCTTACAAACCCCATTGAAACCCAGAAAAGGGCACCCTTTTTGGTTCCTAGGTTCGTCCTGGGTCTAGCTTTGTTGTGGTTTGAGAGCATCCTAACCCGACAGAAGTCCTGAACCCTTAGCCCTCTGTAGGACTATTCTTCAGAGGGTTTAGGGTTTAGGGTTTAGGGTTTAGGGTTTAGGGTTTAGGGTTTAGGGTTTTTGCCCTAAACCAGGACCATAAACCCTAAACCCTACACCCTAAACCTGAAAACCAAAACCCCAAACCCCCAAAAAACCGATTTAGGACGATTCCTCAGAGGGTTTTCAGGGCCCAGACCCCCAAGGTGGCACTGCCTCCTACAACGGGGATCGATGCTTCAGAGGGTTTAGAGTTTAGGGAATCTTCTTCAGAGGGTTTAGGGTTTAGGGTTTAGGGTTTAGGGCTAGGGTTTAGGGTTCAGGGTTCAGGGTTCAGGGTTTAGGGTTTAGGGTTTCGGGTTTCGGGTTTAGGGTGTAGGGTGTAGGGTTTAGGGCTAGGGCTTAGGGTTTTCAGGGGGCCAACCCAAGGTGGCAGATCTTCTACAAGGGCGATCGATGCTTCGGCATTCCCAAGGCGGCCGCTTGCCGTGAGAGGTCGGGGGGCCCCTGCGCCTGACTTGGCGGTGGACCCCGAAACCCTAAACCCTAAACCCCAAACCCTAAACCCTAAACCCTAAACCCTAACCCTAAACCCCAAACCCTAAACCCTAAACCCCTGGAAAGCCTCAGGCGTTCATGGGAGCTCTGCGGTTTAGGAACTCGCGGGGGCGAGGCTTTATCGGGCTTAGGGCTCTGGGTTTAGGGTTTAGGGTTTAGGGCTAGGGTTTAGGGTTCAGGGTTCAGGGTTCAGGGTTTTGGTGGTCGGGGGGCTCAGGACGCCTCGGTCTCGCTGTGTCACCCAATGCAGGTTGTTGCTCTTGCTCTGCGTGGGGTTTCTTTTCACCCTAAACCCTAGGGTTTTGGGTTTAGGTTTTAGGATTTAGGGTTTAGCGTTTACCTAGACCTTAGAAACCCTAAACCCGGGAACTATCCTGGCGAAGGTACAGCCGAAATCCCTAAGTTTTTGGTGTTCAGGGGTTTAGGGCTTAGGGTTTAAGGTTTAAGGTTTAAGGTTTAGGGTTTAGGGTTTAGGGTTTAGGGTTTAAGGTTTAGGATTAGGGTTCAGGATTTTAACTCCTAAACGAGGCCACCGCCAACCCGAATCCGCCCCCTTGGACCGTGTGAGGTCGTCCTCATTTTCCTGGGGATGCCAGGCCCGATGCCACGAACCATTACAACCCTAAACCCTAAACCCTAAACCCTAAACCCTAAACCCTAAACCCTAAACCCTAAACCCTAAACCCTAAACCCTAAACCCTAAACCCTAAACCCTAAACCCTAAACCCTAAACCCTAAACCCTAAACCCTAAAACCTAAACACTAAACCCTAAACCCTAAACCCTAAACCCTAAACCCTAAACCCTAAACCCTAAACCCTAAACCCTAAACCCTAAACCCTAAACCCTAAACCCTAAACCCTAAACCCTAAACCCTAACCCTAAACCCTAAACCCTAAACCCTAAACCCTAAACCAGACACCAAGTTCGGACCTTTGGCTTGCTGGCACAGATGCCGGAAGCATTACAAAAAAAGTAATTTCGTTGTGGTCCCGACAAAGCCATCCTTTGCCAGAACCCCCAAAACCCTATTCCTGAGGCCCCCCCCTAAGGGAAGTGTAGGTTAGGAAAAGGGTTTAGGGTTTAGGGTTTAGGGTTTAGGGTTTAGGGTTTAGGGTTTAGGGTTTAGGGTTTAGGGTTTAGGGTTTAGGGTTTAGGGTTTAGGGGCTGTGCTGTGGTTTTCCCAGCCGCGCCGAGCAGCACGCAAAAATCGCCAGAGCCCTTCAGATGAGCTTTGGACCCTAAAGTTGATGGTTTAGAGTTAAGCGCGTCCCTGTTCACCAGAAACCCTGCGATAAGAGGCCTAACTTACAAGCTGGGCTTCAACCGATAATCCCTTAAAGCCTTAGAGTCTTAGAGCCCTAACCCCTAGTACCCCAAACATAAACCCTCAACTCCGAAACCCCCAAAAGCCCTAAACCCCTAAAGCCCTACGCCCTACAGTCCCAAACCATAAACCCTAAACCCTATAAACCTGAATCCTTGAAATCCGAACACCCCCCCGCAAGCCCTCAACCAAACCCGGCGGGCTACGGCACTCGGGAGCTCAGGACACAAAGGTCGAACCCCTAAACCCTATAAACCCTATAAACCCTATAAACCCTATAAACCCTATAAACCCCATAAACCCATAAACCCTATAAACCCGATAAACCCTGTAAACCCTTTCAACCCTATAAATTAAAAACCCTAAACCCTAAACCCTATAAACCCTAACCCCCCCGAACCTCTTAGGGTTGTAAGGTCTGGGTTTAGGCTTTAGGCTTCTGGGGTTGGATCTTTCGGGCTTTGAAGGGTTGAGGGTAGGGTTCTTGGGATTCTTAGTCAGGGTTTAGGGTTTTGGGTTTAGGGTTTAGGGTTTAGGGTTTAGGGTTTACGGTAACTGTTCTAGCATTCACTAGTCAGTAGGGGCTCCAGGCTTAGGAACAAACCCACCCACCCAAAGAATCCCATAACATTAAGAAGTATAAAGTTCACTCAACAACGGTGCCGACGCACCAAAAATGGCTCAAGAACGGTGCCGACGCACCAAATGGTTCAAGAACGGCGCCGAATACACCAAAAATGGCTCAAGAACGGTGCCGATTGCACCAAAAAGTGCTCAACAACGGGGGGGAAATGCACCAAAAGGTTTCTCGGGGTTATTTAAATCTAAAAGGATAGAGAGGGTTTAGGGTTTAGGGTTTGGGGTGTAGGGTTAGGCTTCTTAGGGTTCTTGGGGTTCTTGTGAGGGTCAAGGGCTTAGGGATTTTGGGGTTCTTAGTTAGGGTTCTTAGGGCTCTAAGGGTGCATAAGTTGCACATATCTTGTTAAGGCGTTAGGGTTTAGGGTTTAGGATTTAGGGTTACCCTAAACCCGAAGCCCTAAACCCTACCTTGTTAAGGCTTGGTTAGGGTTTAGGGTTTAGGGTTTAGGGTGTAGGGTTTAGGGTTATAGGGTTATAGGGTTTAGGGTTAGAGGGTTTAGGGTTTAGGGTTTCGGGCTTAGAGTTTAGGGTTTTTATGGTTTAGGGCTTGGGGGTTTCTTTGGGTGAGCACGCCGAATCTCGGCAGATGACACCGTGGAGGAGGATGCGGTGCCGTCGCGGCTCTGGCTGCCGGGAGCCCTGGCCCTCCGATCTCCTGGGCCTCTGAACCCCCAAAACCCCAAGCCTTACAAGCCCTAAGCCCGAAACCCTAAACCATAAGCCCTAAACCCTAGGCCCTAAGCCCGAAACCCCAAACCCCAACACTTCCCCCAAACTTGAAATCCCCCAACCCCAACTTTCTCTAAACCCCCAGCCCTATAAGCCCGATCTTTTGGTCCTTTAACCCTGCACACTCTTCGGGTTTAGGGTTTGGGGCATAGGGTTTAGGGTTTAGTTGTTCAGGGGACCCTTAAGAACCCGACCTTTCTTCCTAAACACTACACACCCTGAAGCATTGAAGGGTTTTCTCGTGCTCTTTTCAGGGGATGTATTGCGCTGTATGGCTCCAGATGTTGGGTTCTCCCCTAAACCCCAAAACTCTAAACCCTAAACCCCAAAACCCTTAACGGCTCTCAGACCCCCTCCTCCCCCCTTGCGAATCTTCCTGAGAGACTGTCGAGTCATCAGGTTTAAGGGCTTACGCAAAGGCTCAGGATTTTTTGGGTTTATGAGTTTAGCGTTTACCTCGATGGGGAACGCTGCCACTGCGGGATGCGGTCTCGGCCGCCATCCGAAGAGCGACGCATGTATCCGCAGTACGGTGGAATCAAAGAGCATCAAGCTGCCAATGCACTGTCCCGCGGCAAGAGCGTGCAGGACCATGCACGAGTGAGCCTGCCTTCTGAGTCACGACTCATCGCCCGTAGTAGCTACTGTATTACTAAGCTCGTGACTCGGGACGCTGGAGGCCTGTCTTTTCAACTAAAGGAGAGAGGGCACCTCTATATTTAGGGACTATACAAGGTATGTATATGCAGTATATATATATATATATACATCTATCACCCTGAACCCTAAACCCGAAACCACATGTTACATGTAGTCCCTTCTAGGGTTTAGGGTTTAGGGTTTAGGGTTTAGGGTTTAGGGTTTAGGGTTTAGGGCCGCTCCCCCAAACTCCTCCAGGCTGGCGTTGACGGACTACCTTTCCGAGATGTTCTACGATGCCAGCTACGCGGGCTTCCAGTTCCAAGTGTCGAATGAGCCCGGCCCCAAGCCAACCCCCAACACACAGCTTTCAGCTTTAAACCCTTAGCAATCCCTTAGCTCTATCCCCTGGCATCTATGAACCCTGTAAGCCCTGTGGACTCTTGACCTGTAAGACATTTTGTTCATGGTTTGAAGCGCAACCGTGCTTTCACCTTCAGGCATTCTGGCTTTTGAGCCTCCTAGAGGCTTGGGGGGACATGTGCTGTCAAAAAAGGCCCCAAGACCCTATACCCTAAACCCTAAACCTACCACCGGCTCTCTAAACCCTAAATCCCAAAATTCCATTTAAAAATATTACCCTAAACCCTAAACCCTAAACCCTAAACCCTAAACCCAAAGAACCCGAAGGATCGACGGCCTCTCCATCCAGTTCGCAGGCTTCAGCCACTGGGCGCAGCCTTAGGCCGCATCTGCGCCCCGAGAATGTGGACTGTTGGGTTTAGGGTTTAGGGTTAAGGGTTTAGGGTTACTTACGGTATCGTTTAGGGTTTAGGGTTGAGGGTTGAATGGGATCGGAAAGGGCGAGATGGGTTCAGGGTTCAGGGGGCAGTTTCGGAGTTGGCGATGCAACTTCGCTTGCCCGGGGGGGGGGGGGGATGTAGAAGGGGGCCCTATGTCAAAGAAGCACAAACCCCCAAACCCCACCCCCCAACCCAACCCCTACTAAACCCCAGGCCCCCAACAAGCCCAACCCCTGCCAAAGCCATCGAAAGGTGACAAGCTGGTCTTGCTCGTCGAGAAGGTCCTGGCCGCGTTGTCAGATTTTCAAGGCCCCTACCTCGCTTCGGGAACAGGTTGAGGGTGTGGAGACAGAGAGAGAGAGAGAGAGAGAGAGAGAGAGAGAGAGAGAGAGAGAGAAAGAGAGAGAGAGAGGGGGGGGGGGGGAGTGAGACAGGGACTAGGTACCCTTCTACAGTCCCTTAAAGAGGGTTTAGGGTTCAGGGTTTTGCTTGACTTGGTCGCCCAGTGGTACCCTTTTGCCCTTGTTGGGTTCTTGGTGTCTTTGAGCTTGCAAAAGTAGCCCCGCACCCGCAAAGGGGTACCCTAGTTCTGGTCTGCTTACCGAAGTAGATATATATGTTCGCCCAGTGGGTTTAAAAGAGGACCATGTTTAGGACTCTTTCTCAGCGGGTTTTAAGGGCCAGCTACGGGGCCACCGAGTACTTCATGTGGGAGATAGGAACCCCTACAGTGCCCTTGCAGGGCTTAGGGAGCCAGGGAGTCGATGGGTTTACGAGTCATCGTTTCGGGTTTAGGGTTTAGGGTTTAGGGTTTAGGGGTTTAGGGTCTCGGGTCTAGGGTTTAGGGTTCAGGGTTGTTCAGTGCCTCATTTTGTGCTCAGGCAGGTGCGAAACGCAAGGTTTCTTGCTGCCCCTGCCATGCTCCCGAAGGTCTGAGAGAACCGTTATAGTTCCTTAAGCCCTTATCCTTGGGATGTTCCCCCTCATACGAACACCCCCGTATTATATTCCCTTTTAAGGACTGTTCGTAGCCCTTATCCTGTTGGTAGCCCAGTGGTAACCTCTTTCCCTCTTTTTGGCTTTGTAAACTTAGTAGCTGAGAGAGCACACTTTACATTTTTGGGGATACTATACTCCCCTATAGAAGTGAAAGTGTACACGTCTTGAGGGCTTATGAACTCAACTAAGTAAAAAGGCCGACCCCAAAAAGGGTGGGTACTGGGATCCCTACATGTGCACGTGTACAAACACCCGCGGCCCGCGTGACACGATGCCCGCGACCTTCTGAACTGCATCCAGATGGCCCAAAAGTTTCAGGTTTAGGGTTTAGGGTTTAGGGTTTAGGGTTTAGGACTGCACACATGAAGTAAACCAAAGGACCAGTCCATGCCCCGACAGGTCCTTCCGATGAGGACAGCTGGGGAGGGACCCCTTTTCTGTAGGGTCGTTTAGGGTGCCAGCTCAAGTTTAGGGTTTAGGGTTTAGGGTTTAGGGTTTCGGGTTTAGGGTTTAGGGTTTAGGGTTCCGAGTTCATGTTGGTAGGCTTTAGGGCTTTCATGGTCCATTTTTTTCAAAATGGTTGGGGTTCAGACTCCAGGTACGAACGTTGGATTCAGGATTCGGGTTTCGGGGTAAAGGGTCAGGGCTTGACGAGTGTACCACGTGCACTTTCAAGGGCGCGGTGTAACGTGTTTGGCAATTTGGGTTGTAGGGCAGAGGGTGGGGTCCATTGAGGATAGAAACCGCAGGACTCCTCCTTCCAAGTATATATATATCTATATATATGTAAATCCTCGACCCTAAACCCTAAACCCTAAACCCTAAACCCTAAACCCTAAACCCTAAACCCTAAACCCTAAACCCTAAACCCTAAACCCTAAACCCTAAACCCTAAACCCTAAACCCTAAACCCTAAACCCTAAACCCTAAACCCTAACCCTGCATGGGGGGCTTCTGGGAGCCCCCGGCTCTGGGGTTTGGGGTCTTGGGTTCAAATTGCAGTGCCGAGAGGCCCCGCAAAAGAAGTCCCGGAGCGGTCCTTCTTGCCCTCAAGAAGTCTCCCCAAGGGTCCATGTACCTGAGTGTAGGGTTTAGGGTTTAGGGTTTGGGGTGCGGAGCTGCAATTTGTATTGAAGAAAAGAGTTGGTGATGAAGAATAAAGGGTCAATGTACCCGCTACCATTTTGGCTCAAGATCGGGCCATGCGCCTAGAGAAGAAAGGGTGCTTGGTGTTTTGGGTTGGTTTGTTGTTGGTTGGTCCAGGGGATCAAGGGCTTCTGTTGGGGTTGACTGTTTTGTTCCCTGTCCTCCTTCGGTTGCCCCCCGTAGGTTATGAGCCCAAATTAGGCTTCCTGCGGTATAGGTAAAGATCTTTGGTTTGTTCCGTGCCATGGACATGTTGCGGCGTCGCTCAGAACCTGGACTGTCATCCGCGGCCAATGAAGCCGAAGAAAATCGTGGTGATGGGGGTGAAGAACGACAGCAAGGGGTGCAAGCACTGACAGATGGTAGGGAAGTTGCAATGATACAACAAACGTCTCAGGTGGAAAATGAAGCGGTTCCGTTTCCAGCAGCGAATCCTTTCTGGAGCGAGCGGGCTCATGAAGAAATGAGACTGAGGCAATCAAGGCCAGCAAGTCTTCCTGCGAGCGGAGGGGATAGAAGTGGTGAAGAAACAAGAAGGCCACCGTCGTTGCCAGAACTTCGGGATCGGGAACCTGCACCAGCTGAGAGGCCATCGTCAGGTTTAATGGGCCAGATGGAAAGAGGTAATATTGGTGAGACACAAGGCGAGGAAGAGCTTATTCCTGATCTGAGTGGTGAAGAACAAGGTGAAGATATGGCAGTGGTTAAGCGTGCACTTAAAGAGTTGCTTGTGCAAACAAAGGAGCTGGGAAACAGGTTGCATCGGGTGGAGGAGAAAAGCTATACCTCTGCTGCATCTGGGTCAGCTTCAAGAGCACGGAGCACTGGAATGGTGGACGCAAATGCTGCATATCCCTTGGGAATGACTCCAGAGAAACAGTACCCGCCAGGACAAGTTTTCTACACTGATGGTATGGGTGGTTTTTGGACTGTGTTGCCTGATGGGACATGGCTGGTGATTGAGGGCTACGACCTGCCCAAGGGTTGTGACCTTCAACCCTTGCCTGAGCCCAGGAAAGGGGATGCTCATGTGGAGGATGAAAAAGAAGTGCCAATGATGCACGTAGCTGAAGGGAAGAAACCTTCCAGATTGCCTCCATTGAATTACCCCATGGGAGGTTCTGCAAGTGGTGGGTATGCAAGTGGACCACCTGGTTTAACACATGTTCCGATTCCTTCCTTGCCGTCAGGTGTTGATGGTTCTGCCGCACCGATGGGAAATCAGCCCGGTTTTGTTTCAGCTCGGGAAACTTCGACGCAAGAGAACCCAGCAGGATCGGGTGGATATACAATGGTGGATGATGTTCCATATCGGTGGAAAATGATCGCTGGGAAGTTGGAATTAGAAAAGGTTCCGCTCACAGCTTTTACGCCTGGAATGGGACATGGACTGCCTCAAGGGCCTGGTGGAAGGGTCAGCTTACCTCCTGGAGCAGTAGTGCCACGTGGTATGCCAAACATTGGTGATAGTTCTGGAACTGAACGTCCGGAGGCTCTTGGGAAGCAAGTGATGAGCCTTCCTACTTTGGCAGACTACACACCAAGCAATCCGACGGCACTAGGTGATTGGATCGCAATGATCGAGCCAATGTTGTCTTCGCTGACAGATACAGGAAGAGTGTGGTGGCAATCCGTCTATACAAAGGCGTATCAGGCGTACGCCAAATGGTTGAGTGTCTCTCCGCTGGAAAGGTTGGGCATCAAGGCTGAGCTGGAAGGGCTCAAGGTGGTTCGAACTGTACATGTTTTGTTGGAGCAGAGAGCGGTGTCTTTGCTGCTACAGGCGATTCCGGAGAGATTGAAGACCGAGATCGTTTCCACTCGAATGTTGGGGTCGGTGATGATATTTTACAAGTTGCTGACAGTCTACCAACCAGGTGGAGCAAACGAGCGCAGCACAATGTTAAACTTCTTGGTGCAACCATCTTCAGCAACCTCGATCTCAGAGGCTATTAAGGGAGTGCGTCAATGGGCGCAATGGCGTTCCCGATTAAGGGAGCTGCGAGCATCCGAGCCGGACGCTACCTTGCTTATCAAGGGATTGGATGCTTTATCATCCGCGTTGCTGGCAAAACACCCTACGGTGCATTTCAGAGTGGCATCCTTTCGGGAGAAATTGGGGGTGGACTACTCGCCGACCTCTGAAACTGCGACACAACTAGCTGAAATGTTACAGGCAGAGTTTGAACTGCTATTGCATAGCGCTGGTGATCCAGAGGTGAAGCAGGACTCGGACGCCAAGAAAAGGGCAAGGTTAAACAAGGCCCAAAAGGGAACTGGTGACGAGACAGAGGAGGGTGACAAAGGCAAAGGGAAAGGAAAAAGGTACAGCGGTGATGGTGAACGTCCATTCTGTTGGATATTTGGGAAGACAGATGCAGGCTGCAAGTTCGGATCACGCTGCAAATTTCGCCATGACAAGGACTCCCTGGAGCGTGGAAGATGTTTTGAATGTGGGGCCGTTGGCCATCTACAGCCGCAGTGTCCATACAAAGATGGTGCAAGTTCCAATGCGGACTCAAATCCCGAAAGGAATAGATCTAAAGGGAATTCTCCCAAAGGGGGAAAGGGCGGCAAAGGTGCAAAATGGGGAAATGCCAAAAAGGCAGAAGTGGCTGAAGGGGGAGATGAGACGGCTAATGCGGGATTGGAGAAAGGTTCTGCAAGTCCCTCATCACCATCAACACCCAATCAGGTCCTTGCTGAAGCGTTAGAGGTGCTGAAATCTATGAAGCTGTCATCAGCGCAGTCAGCATCAAGCGGGGATCCCAGTGTTCGAATGTTATGTGGCTCTGGATTGTTTCAGCAGGAAGGGAGAGTGGCGTTGGTGGATACAGCTGCTACGCATCTTGTGCGGACGCTTTTTCCATGGGAATGTTTACCCGACACTACTGTTATGGTGCAAAGCGCGCTTGGTGGTGTGACAATGAGGATTACAGAGAAAGGGACATTGATCAGGGAAGACAATGGGCCCCTGATTATCCCTCTCTGGTTGATTTTGGAGTTTGGGGCGAACCTCACCGTGATCAATGGGATGTGTCACGTGAGTGCAAAATCTTCGCTGGACCAGCTCTTGTGGTTTGAACATGGCTGTTTGGTTATGGATTACAAAACAGCTGAAAAGATGGTTTTGCATGCTGAAAGGCAGCGTGCATCTTGGTCCCATTCTCAATGGAGGAATGGAAGGGCGGACTGTGGAGTCGGTTCGTCTGATGCCACGTTGTTGCCGAAGCAGGGAGAAGGCCGAGGAGTATGCGTTCTACATGTGGCCAGGGTTTCTGACACCAATGAGTGTTCGGGAATGGGCATGTTGGACTCGGGAGCATCACATCCTCTCAGATCACTTCGTCCTGGTGAACAGCTTCCGCAGCAAAAGGTGTTGGTGTCTTTAGCTGTTGGATCTCGGGAGATGTGTATTACCCCAGGTGGGACCCTGGTAACTCCTGAAATGGTAGATCCACTAGTGCCAATTGGCAAAGCGAGCGCTTTGGTTGGTCTCAGAGTTCAGTGGCGTGGTGGCAAGTGCACAGCCTCACATCCTGTTCTGGGGGAACTTCGCGTTCGAGATCTGAATGGGTGCCCTTGTTTGGAAAAGGAGGTGGCGCTTCAGATCATTGATGAAATGGATTGGTGTTCACCAAAGCAAGCATTGAAGGTGGCACGTATGGTTCAAGGGTGTCCGAATACGGACAACGAGGTGGCTGTAAAAGCGTCGTTGCAAAGCGCAGCGCGGACAGCGTCAGCGAATGAGGAGGAGTTCGTCCAGGCATGCTGGCGATTTCTTCGGTGGTATTATGGGGATATACCAGAAAATATGCTGATGGAGCTGTTGCCACGTGGAGATATTGCGGCGTTGCCTTTCAACCGTCATAAAAGGAGACGGCTGGCACGAGCAAAAAGGGTGGTGGTACACCTATTTTCAGGAAAACAAAAATGGCATTTTCCCAGTCGGGATGTGGAGGTACTGGAGCTGGATTTGAAGAAAGGCGGTGACCTACATAATTCGAGCGTCTGGAAGTATCTTCTGCATCTGGCGGCTGAAGGAAAGGTGGTTGCTGTGGTTGGAGGACCTCCATGCAGGACAGTGTCAAGGTTGAGAGGTGAAGACGGTGGTCCACCTGTATTACGCCGGCGCTGTGGGCCTGAACGGTTGGGATTAAAGAGTCTTCCTTGGCCGCATCAAGAATTAGCTCAAAAGGATGGTGTTTTACTTCTGAAGATGCTTTTCCTATATGACGTGGCGGTGCATTCAAGGTGTGAAACTGCT